AAATATCTTGCAATTTAAAAGTATTTGTAGAATATAGAATTGGAAAATTCCTTTGTTTCTCCTGTCTCAATAAATCCTTCTATGTAGTATGTATGTATCTCATCAGCTGGCCCGACCTGTACAGTGAGCGGCATGCGTTGCCTGTCTGTACATCAGCATCGTCTGTTCACTCTGGAGGGCCAGCGTTGTTCCTGCAGCCAGCACTGTGTGGACGCCGTGTTCAAGGAGGCCCTGGAGAAGATTGAGAACATGTAGGACTCGTGAGGATTGTTATAGAGATCATACGAGAACTACTTGTGATGTTGAGAGATGTTATGGGCAGCTTCACTTTAGTAACATATTACGTGTCATCAGGACGGGAGGTCCGTTCGGGCTCCGAGGGTCCGTCCACTACACCCTGGAGCAGCCTCGCGAGAGATACGTCAGATACATCGTGTTCTACTTCCAGGACCTCGTGGGTGAGTGGCAGCTTCTCCGTATAACAACACCCTGTACGCGTGTCACAGTGTCACACTCATCTATTCCTTATGCTCTCTTTCTGTATTGTTCTGTGTCGTCAAGTGTCATTCGGCGGCGCGGCTGGTCTGTTCCTGGGAGCCAGCTTCATCAGCTTCGTGGAGGTCGGCTACTTCCTCATCGAGAGACTCACGAGGTCGTCTCCAACACACACCGTGACGGATGTGAGTGATTCAGATAGTAGAAGGAGGCGGGCACGGGAATAGTGGGACTAAATAATGTTAGGACTATATGATGAGTTTGAAAGAAACAAGAAGATATAATAATGAGATAACGTGTGATGTGTGATTAGGAATGAATGAGAATATTTGAAAACGTGTCATAATAAAGATGTCTGCGTTACATTCATTTAAGTAAATGTTTAATTTCAATTCATCAGAACTAAATGTACAACACAATTGTTTTACACTTTTGTTCCGCTCCACTCTGTGTCCTTAGTCCAAGTCTCATCACGATACGTGTGAAGTATCAACAGTTTGTTTATTCATAGTTTATTGAATGAAACGTGAAACGCGTCGTATGTAGTGTGAAGATGTAGACTCGGACTAATGTACAGATCTGTACTTGTTACATTTCTTACTGTTTAATGGAGACAGCGTTCCTTGTTTGTTGTGACAGGTGAAGAGATTCAACGCTCCGTACGAGGCTCGCATCACAGAACTGACAGATATCATACAGAAACACTTTAGATAAAGGAAAATATAGTTTAATAATAAAAGATTTATCATACATTGCATCCTTTTAATAGGTAAAAAATACGAAAAAAGATTTAAAAAAAGCTTTTCTAATTCCTATTTTTATTCAGAATATCATTAGATATGTCTTTAAATATCGTTTTTAATGTTGACTTAATAATAGTAAAATATCAATTATAATAACAAAAAAAGAGAATACTCCATATCCTACAATATGTTTTAGTTTCATTCTGTGTGTTAAGATACGGAACACTTTATAAATACACTCACTTGGAGCACACACACGTGGTGAAAACTGATCACAATATATATAACAATCATTGACACAATTTCAACTTAATATTTTTCTCAATTACATTTACTTTCAACGTTATTTCTTCTGCTTCACGACTGGGTGTAATGCGACATGCGATAGATATGAAGAAGTATAAAAAAAGAAGTGTTGAATGGAACTTATAGTTACAGGCAATATAATAGATGAGACAAATATATGATAACGTGTCTTTTGTTTCTCTAAATATAAAAAAAACTGTCATAGCGAAAATATACGTGTAATGTGTGTTTGTTTCTCAGTTAGTTTAAATAAATAAATAAATAATATTGCGTATTACTCTTAATTAATCCATCCATTCATCAAGAAGCGATTTCATGAAAAAAAAAATATCATTGTATGAAGTTAGTTTTTTAATTTATGTAAGTAAAATGTAATTCCGATACCGGGAATCGAACCCGAGCCTCCTGGGTGAGAGCCAGGTATCCTAGCCACTAGACCATATCGGATACGGCTTTATCACACAAAGAGTGATCCAAGAAATTGTTACGTTGACTTATTTCCTCATTTTGTTCCCAATTAAATGTTTAAAAAACTGAGCTGATCGTTGTAGATAAGTATAAAAAGGTTTACCTATTTTAATAAGAAACTATTGCATGTTTTAATGTTTATCTATATACATATATAAAAGAAAGTCGTGTTAGTTACTCCACTTATAACTTAAGAACGGCTGAACCGATTTAGCTGAAAATTGGCAGGGAGGTAGTTTAGAACCAGGAAAATTCAATAGGATACTTTTTATCCCGTTCGACAGCATTCCCGTGGGAATTGACATGACACGTCAGTCACTATAAAACGACGTACAATAACAGATATGTAATGACGTAATGATGACAATTAGATATTTAAAAGACATTTAGTCATCTACTATATAAAAATAAGTCCGGTTTTCCGTCCTGACGCTATAACTTCAAAACGAACGAACCAATTTCCACGGTTTAGCATTCGTTAATTTCATGTGACAAACCGGTATTGTGTTTGTAGTTTGAACTTTTAAAACCATTTAGTATTTATTTATTTATTGGATCGCCAACAAAGTATACACAAATACAACCATTTTAATTATTACAACCAAAATGCTATGTGCTACCTCAGTTACAGGCAACCACTTCATGCTGAAATAGTAACAGAGTGCATCACAAGGTTAACATTTTGGTTTTAATACATTTTAGTTTAGATACAGAGCATTTATTTGCGGGACAGTATACAGTATTTGCGGGATAAATTTAGAAAATCATTGTTTTTCACATGGGTGTTATATTTTGCGTGTTCACGAGTTTGGAAACCATCCGCTTTATTTGTAAAAAATGTACAAAAAAATGTGGTTTACAAAGGACCACTTCAATGAAACAGATAATTTGCGGACACGTATAACGCTTCGATTCGGTATCTACTTTGGATTCACTTTCATTTACTTAGAGAAGTTCAACTAAATAACACTTCATTTTTGTAATCGAAATGAATTCATTATTGTTGTGAAATGAAATAAAAATTTTCCTTTTCAAATATGAAACAAAAAATTTCTTCATCTTTTAATCACCAAACGAAATGTTATTTAAAAGCCTTCTGGTGGCGAAACGGAGTTCGCGGGTTTACTAGTTAATATATATTTATATAATCTGTAAGACACAAGAAAATAAGACATCTGTCACACTAACTTGTGTTTTATTTTTATTTATTTCTTCCTGTTTAATATAGACCTCACTCCAGCCCTGACCTGACAACGATACAATATTGTATTATTTATAAACTACAACTGAAATTAGGAATGAATTTTTAGTTTTAATTTTTACTCATTACTTTGAGGTTAATTATAAGATTGGTACTCAAAGGACAAGACTAATAAGAGCCGTTTTTCTTTTTAAATCAATTTATTTCAGAACCAAGAAAACATTATCTTATATATAATTTTCAAAGAATCAGAATCCGCATGAAGAGATTGCTTAAGTATATATTTATTTTCAAGGTTTATATTTAAATCAGTTTTATTGATATAAACATAATATTTTATTGATATAAACATAATATTCAGCCGCCAATTTTCTAAGGTACAAAGAAGTTTTTTTTATAAAGAATCCAAAAAAATACGAAGGGGCATCTCCTCGTTAGATATCACTAGCTGCGCCCCGCGGTGTTACCCGCGGATTTCCGGGATGTAAAGTAGCCTATGTGTTACTCCTGGACGGAAAATCGGTTCAGCCGTTTGAGCGTTTAGAAGTAACAAACATACACACTCACAAACTTTCGCAATTATAATATTAGTAGGATTGCCTTTCTGACACAAGATATAAATAAACACATTGCATATATAAATAAACACATTCTAACCAATTATAAACAGTTAAAAAAAGATATCATTTGACATTCGGAACTGCTTGAAAAGAAGATTCAATTACCACTAAAAGTAGTTTTGGGGCAAAAATGGCGAATTGTTAATCTCATTCATATTAAATTGAAGGGTTACAGACGTATCTTAAAACTTGAAACAATAATGTTTTTCATACAAGGTAACGTTACGCATCACCTTGAATGAGTTGGCTGTACTCCAAGCGCATTTTGTAAAAAAGAAATGTAACATAATGAATAATAATGGATAATGATATTAAGATTTTAAGAATTGAAACTAAGTCTCAAGACTAGTTGGAACCGTAGATAATCAACGAAGTTCGGTTTTTCCTCGTTTTGTAATTTATAAATTTGTAATTACACATAGCACTTAAATCACTGAAACAAGAAGTAATAACACATAGTATTGTTTTTAAAGCAGTTTTATTTAACGCTGACAAAAACACGTTGTATTAATAGCCCAAAATTAATACAGAAATAACAATTGTTGGTACAGAAACTCTAATTCCAGTGTCAATACAATCCGATATGGTCTAGTGGCTAGGATACCTGGCTCTCACCCAGGAGGCTCGGGTTCGATTCCCGGTATCGGAATTACTTTTACAATCAAGTGAATTAAATACTAGTTTCATTTAACGAGAAAATTTTCTAAATTCTTTTCTTTTTTAGCCACCTATCGCATGTCGTATTGCATCCTGTCATGAAGTAGAAGAAATGAAGCATAAAATGCTTGTATTGAGGAAAAAATAAGTTTAAATTGTGTCAATGTTTTTCAAAATTTTCATCACGCGTGTGTGCTCTAAGTGTGTGTATTTATTTATAAAGTGTTCCGTATCCTTACACGCAGAATGAAACTAAAACATTATAATATTTATCGAGTACTATGTATTTATTATTACAATACACATTTTACTATTATTAAGTCTACACTAAAAAAATTATTTAAAAACACTTCGAATATTCTGAATAACTAAAATTAAAGAGGAATTAGAATAGCATTATTTTACCTTTTTTCATATTTTGTACTAACTAAAAGGACACTATAGGTATTGCAAGTTTTTCTTGTGTTTTAAGTGTATGATAAATCTTATATTATTAAATTATATTTTCCTTTATCTAAAGTGTTTCTGTATGATATCTGTGAGTTCTGTGATGCGAGCCTCGTACGGAGCGTTGAATCTCTTCACCTGTCACAACAAACAAGGAACGCTGACTCCATTAAACAGTAAGAAATGTAACAAGTACAGATCTGTACATTAGTCCGAGTCTACATCTTCACACTACATACGACGCGTTTCACGTTTCATTCAATAAACTATGAATAAAGAAACTGGTGATACTTCACACGTATAGTGATGAGACTTGGACTAAGGACACAGAGTGGAGCGGAACAAAATTGAAAAACAATTGTGTTATACATTTAGTTCTGATGAATTGAAATCAAATATTTACTTTAAAAAATCTAACAGCAGACATTTTATTATGACACGTTTTCAAATATTCTCGTTCATTCCTTATCTAGACATCACACGTTTCTTTCAAACTCATCATATAGTCCTAACATTATTTAATTCCACTATTCCCGTGCCCGCCTCCTTCTACTATCTGAATCACTCACATCCGTCACGGTGTGTGTTGGAGACGACCTCGCGAGTCTCTCGACGAGGAAGTAGCCGACCTCCACGAAGCTGATGAAGCTGGCTCCCAGGAACAGACCAGCCGCGCCGCCGAATGACACTTGACGACACAGAACAATACAGAAAGGAGCATAAGGAATAGATGAGTGACTGACTGACACTGTGACACGCGTACAGGGTGTTGTTGTACAGAGAAGCTGCCACTCACCCACGAGGTCCTGGAAGTAGAACACGATGTATCTGACGTATCTCTCGCGAGGCTGCTCCAGGGTGTAGTGGACGGACCCTCGGAGCCCGAACGGACCTCCCGTCCTGATGACACGTAATATGTTACTAAAGTGAAGCTGCCCATAACATCTCTCAACAACATCACAAGTAGTTCTCGTATGATCTCTAAAACAATCGCCACGAGTCCTACATGTTCTCAATCTTCTCCAGGGCCTCCTTGAACACGGCGTCCACACAGTGCTGGCTGCAGGAACAACGCTGGCCCTCCAGAGTGAACAGACGATGCTGATGTACAGACAGGCAACGCATGCCGCTCACTGTACAGGTCGGGCCAGCTGATGGGATACATACATACTACATAGAAGGATTTATTGAGACACGAGGATTTTATATTACAAATACTTTTAAATTGCAAGATATTTCTCTGTATTTATGACAAAGAAAATCTTGAATTAAATCACAATGAATAAAGTGTATTCCTAACACGATACATACATCACACACAGAAGTACATCGACCAGACCTAATTTCATTTCCAAGTCTCTCGACCAGTCAGTCACTTCTTATATCTGATATAGTTCATTAAAACTTTCCACCTGCAAGCATCTGTTATATAAACTCACCAACATAGAAGTAGTAGAACGGTTGACACCCGCACAGCTCCATCGCCAGGCGTCTCCTACAGTCCTGTCTGCAGGAGTGTGTGCTGTATACCTGGCGTCAAGTACAATGAGGTCATGCATCAGGGTCATCTGTCACAGGAGAGGTCGAGTGACCTTTGACCCTCACGGTTACCTGTCTGTAGCCTGCGGTGGGTTCATCAGTGAACAGACACTGTCGTCTCCTCGGCAGCAGGTCCCTCACTCCTGGACCCACTCCTATCTCGGTGGTGGTCACGTCCACGTGTGTGATGAGTGGGGGGGAGGTGGTGGTGTGTGCTTCAGTGTAGTCGACCACATCGTACGGAGAGTGGAGATAGTACTGAATGAACATGTGAAGTTTAATACAACATAGATACAGGAGGAAGGACGGGAAAGGGAGAGTTCTAGAACTGTTTTATTGAAAGAATGGATTTTCATTTGACTGTTTGATTTTGGTAGACTTTATTATACAATAAGTAAGAAACATACTTTTCTATAATTCTTATAGTTGAGTTACTTATCTTCTATATATATAAAAATGGATTGCTGTTCCTTAGTCTCGCTAAAACTCGAGAACAGCTGAACCGATTTGGCTAATTTTAGTCTTGAAATACTCCTGGAAGTCCAGGAAAGGTTTAAAAGGTGAGAAAAATTGGAATAATTGCCGGGAAAACCCTAAAAACAGCCCTTTTCTATTTCCCATACAAACGTTTTTTTGACATTAGATTTGACAACTAACTAATATGTCAATCATTCTGATTGATTGAAACAGGAAATACCTGATTATTTATGGCCTCTAAGACGTAATAGAGTTTGCCTGGTCAGCTTCTCCTTCTACCTGGCAATTTCCCAGCTATAGCCAGGGTCTGCCTTACATGTTTGTGAATAGTTTTGGCTATTTGTTTTTACGACCGTCCGCGTGCCTGACATCAACCCTCTCTTTGGGAATCAACATAAATCAGTGATGTCTAAATACTCTTAGAAAGTACATATGACTCGGAAAAATCACATTGGTACTTGCCCGGGCCAGGATCGAACAAGAACCCTCGGCAACGAGAGGCGAGCCCTTTAACCACTAGGCCACCACTGCCTGGTCAGCTATACCTACATATATTACTCTTGACCAAACTAACGCGGACGAAGTCGCGGGCAAAAACTAGTGAGGAATAAAAATATTACTGACACTCTACGCACGCGAAGTAAGTATTATACGACTGAATCAGCATAAGTTAAAAATCTTTGCATTTATTCATGATGCGAGGGTTGCAAAGAAAGTTGCATAGTTCTTGTAATAGTTTTAAATCTATTTAGTAATACGTTGAGTCCAGTCCTCGTCGTGTACATACGTGTATCTCTGCAGCACACTCCAGATACAGGAAGCAGCCGTTGGTGTCCGCTTGACAAGTCATCGGATTGTCTTTAGTATGGCTCACGTTGGACTTGCTGTAACAAACAGTTCCATATCAATGATTCACTTCTCGTCTTGTTTATTAATATATAAATAAACCCACAAGATCTCTATATCAGCGGTGGCCACTGAGTTGAGTGTGTGACACACTCCGAGCTCCGTCATCACCGGGGTCCAGATCGCTTTTATTTTCTCTCCGTTACTCACTTTGATGTTGCTGTCTTCCATCACCTGAAGAGACATCACTTATTCATCATCATCATCAGTCCGCTACTTAACTTTACTTCAGTATTTATCAATATCTACCTCTTTTAAAGTAGTATTTTTGGGACTCTTTACGTTTATTAGAAATGAAGAAAGAATTAACAAAAATAGGAGTAAAAAGAGAGAGAATTAAGTTAATAATAAAGTTAAAAGTCATCAGACTAACGTCAACGGCGAGTCTGAACAAGTCCACGTTCAGTGTTGGGTCATCGTCGAACTGTTCAAACAACGTGAGGTTCTCCAGAGTAGAGCTGGCGACGGCGCTCACGAAACGACTGTAATACAAGTACTTGGGATGGCCAGCTTCAACATTCCAACGAGATTTGATTGCATTCGGAAGTTTCTTTACATCCACTTTGTTCTGAAACAACGATAAAGAGGATCGGTGCCTCTCGTGGAGTCAAAGTTAATGTATCAGTGAGTATAGAGCAACCTTCAAGCAAGCAGTGACGGCCGGCATATGGATCCTCCAGGTTCTGAAGTCCTTCTCCAGAGTGACGATGGTGGGGTTCTCGTCGTACCTCTGCCACTGGCCCATCGATATGTCCAGCACCAGCCACACTGACGCCGCTATGAAGCAGACCCACAACAACCTGTACGATACTTCTCTTGAGAAAAACACTCACCAAAGGTACTCGCCGTTTGATGATAAGTTATTGTCTTCATCCAAAGAATAGTTTAAAGGTGTCTTTACCTAAAGAATTTTAAGGATTAAGTCAAGGAAATGCAGAAAGACAGGAAGATAGGTGCGGATGAAGAGGGAATTAATACTTTTGTAGATCATACTGCTCATGACACCAAACGGAACTATATTAATAAGTTACACTGTACTCTACTACATGAACTACTTACTAATGAATCATGTCTATTACTTTGTTTATTTTAATAATACCAAAAGTATAACGAGTATTTATCCAACATCTTGATGTCGTGTGATCAACTGTCCATCACATAATCTCCTATAACACAATAAGATCATCTTCCCCACACTATCACCTCTCGCTCCAGTGCCTCCTCTCAGCCGTGATGTGGTTGAACCCGTGGAGGCTGGTCTCCGAACAGAACTCCTTCCAGCTCTCCATCACCACTCGTACCACTTTACTAACTAACGCTAACATTTCAGAACAGATCTCTTTGTTAACTGACTTCTATTCCTCATTAAACATCCCGTCCTTCTTATTATTTTCAATGTTTACGGTCTAATGCATAAGTCATGTTATATTATTATATTGAGTCACGCTTGTTGTCTGTTACATGACTGCATGTAATTATATGAGCTTTTTTTAATATATTTATATTAAAAAATGGACAGGTAATATCAAAGTATAAATTAAACTTATCATTGCACGCGATATTGTTTGTTTTTAATAATGTAATAAGATTAATGAAATTTGTAAGAAGTCGTCATTTTCTTCTCTTTTCGTTTCTTTGTATCTTCTCTGTCCTTCTTTGATTAAAATTTTATATGAACCAATCGGTAGAACAGTAAATTTTAACAGACCCAACTCTGTTGAAAACAATAACAACTTGAAATTGGTTTAGATTTTAAATATCTTACATTAAATCTTTATGAACGTCGAGAGAGATTTTGGCAAATGTATTATTTTATAGTATCATGAGTTAAAAAGAAAAAGAACTTGAAAAGCGATTATTTTAAAGAAGATATAGTTGTTGATCGAGAAATCGTTTACGACTAATAAAGAATATTTTAGTGTTATATAATATATAGTGATTGGAGGCTGAATATAAAAAATATATTAAGAGTCCGACTTTCTCAGATTTTTGTTAATTTAAGTTCAAACCATAAAAAAGTCATGATATGATGATGAACAATATTTCACAAGGACACCTTTTTTAACTCTTACTATTATTATTTATAAACACGAAATTGTTTTCTGGGATTATTTTTAATGGTATACGATAAGTATACATAATATAAACACATTGCAGGCTTTTGTAAATGATTTGTAAATTAAGATATTTTTTTTTGTGATTAAATCAAATTTTATTAATAAATAATGAAATTTTATACACAGAGCCATATAAAATGATATAATTTTGTAATATATGTAGGAAAATACTTTTTTATAATTGTATTTAGTTATATAGAAAGAAATATATAACTTTTTCATTACATCAAACATGTCCGATATGGTCTAGTGGCTAGGATACCTGGCTCTCACCCAGGAGGCTCGGGTTCGATTCCCGGTATCGGAATTACTTTTTTCTAAATAAAATATAAAATGCTTTATTATATAGTTTAAATATTTATATGTTAGTTTTATTTTTTTTTATCAAAGAAACAAGTTAGTTTTAAAAATTGTTGCCTCATACGTCAGTGATTTATAAAACTTAAGACGTTCATATTTTAATAATAGCTATAATAACACTTGAAAATTTAAAACAGTTTGTAATAAATTAATAAAGAAAAAGAATTATGTATATGTAGGAGTATTAGACAAGTTAAGTTCTCCAAATGAAATTGAACAATTTGAGTTAGGTACTTTTAATTTGTCGAAATATACCATGTATTAAGTCTACTATATTACACGTCGTGTTTATAAATAATTATGGGAAATATTTCACTAATATTGTTTATTATTTAATATAATTATTTTATTATGTATGTAGCCCTGATTACCAATTCTAACAGCAAATAATTTCTTTAATGCATTCTGTATAATTTTAAATTATAATAACTTAAGCAAAATACCTCAGCTTTGGGTGTTTAAACACATAATATATTAAACAGACGACACGGAACTTTAAATTATAGGATTATTGCATGCGCACGCGCATACACATACGCGCACACAGACATCGACTTCAAACTTTTTACGTTGGCGGGTTCAAAATACCATGAACGATGTCTGTTATGTAGAGTTATGTTGACGATCTTTCCTAACTTTATAAGTTATTATTATAAGTAATAAACCTACAAATTATACTTAGACTTAAACTTTCATTTTAATAAGAAGTAAATAATTTAATTTACTACATTAGTATCCACACAGAGAAAAAGAAAATATTAAATTATTTAAATAGATGATAATGTAACAGGATAAACGAGGTCATCGTTTGGGAATAATATTATCAAACCTGAGAAATATACGACAATATGACATTAACATTAAAGACAATTATTATATTATATTATACACTTACACTTAATAATCCTCTTTACAAAAACACTAGCTATTGTTTGCGGCTTCGTCTGAATGTTAAACTCACTTTGAGATATGTCCTATCTTCATTATGAGGTTTCATTCGTTTTTTTGAGGATCCCTTCATCACGTCCGTTGATTCCAATGGAACAACATCACGTCAATGTATTTTCAATTAGAAATATAATTTCAAAAGTTGTCCTTTAATTGAATTCGTATTGAGAACTCCTTCCTTTTTGAAGTAGGTTAAAAAACCTAAGATACTCATTGCTTACTTGGCTTGGGAAATTCGAGTCAAAAGATCAAGTTGTGCCAGACTTTAAAACAAACAAACGAACAAACAACGACAAAAAACTGCATACATGATGTAAACATCGCAAATACTTGCATATGGATTAAATGAAAAACTGTTCATTTAAGTTTACAAACAGATATACAAGTTTTATTGATTAGTAGAGATATGTATCATATCCGGCTGCTAATGATTTAGAGGTGGTAGAGCCTGGCTGTGGTCAAGTTACTACAGCTTGAACATGGGCTGGCTCGACCGGGGAAGTACCACCCTCTCACAGAAGATCGGCGTGAAGTAGTCTTTAATGACTGCGTTTCGTCCGGTGAGTGAGATAACCGGTTGCCCTTTCCCCTTTTCCCTCCCTTTCCTTCCTTTTCCCCAATCAAGGGCGGCAACACATCCGCAAATCTACTTTGCGTATGTCCATGGGCGACGGTAACTATCTACCATCAAGTAGGTCGTCTGCTCGGTTGCCCCCTTTTCCCATAAAAAAAAGAGATGATACTTCATAACATTTAATTATCTTGAGCTGATTTTTGTTCTTAATGCCGGTTCAACTTTTCTGTAGTATAATTTTAAGGCTATAAATATTTCTTTAATGTCTTAACGTTATATTGCATAATACTCTTTCCGCTTACATTTATTAAGCCAAAACGTGATTGTATCATTTTCACAAATAATTGTGATTCTCATTAAGTCGTAAGTTTCAAATTTAAGACCTACAGAAACCATGGTCTATCAAGTCCCTTTTTTAATTTAATTGGAAGTCTCTTGATCCAAACTCATTGAAACTGAATGTAAAAACACTAGTTCTATGTATAACGCTATTTAAAATCCTTTGAAGATTTATCATTTACAAACAATAGGGCTCCTTTGTAATAAAAAAGAACTGGTTTCCTATAAAGCATTTTATTTTGCGGTATCATCTTCCGTACTCTTGCAAAATATTTATGTCTCTGTTATAAGGAAATAAAAAACTAAAAATCTTTCTTCGTCTTTATTCTCATACAGTATTTATAAAACCCATATCCTATGTAGTTTAGTAATAAGTTACACCTATTATTATTATTTAATTTTAAACTTCCGGTCAAATTAAAACATCCGGGTTATAATTTAACAATTTCATTTAATATTTACATCAACTTATAATTAGCTAGTACTCATTTTTCTACTGATGAAAATGATGAGGATTGTTTGAGAGTTACAACATAATTTGCGATCAGTTGGTAGGTTGATTTGTAAGTAGTCGTCGGATTAGTTATTAGTCAAGCTAGTAGTTCTTCTACCTGGCAATTTCCCAGCTTTAGCCAGGGTCTGCCTTACATGTGAATAGTTTTCGCTAATTGTTTTAACGACCTTCCTGACATCAACCCTCTTTGGGAATGCATTAATCAGTGGTGTCTAAATACTCTTAGAAAGTACATGTGACTCTGAAAAATCACATTGGTACTTGCCAGGATCGAACCCGCGCCCTCATGCATGAGAGGCGGGGCTTTAACCACTAGGCCACCACTGACTTTCGTCAAGCTAGTTGATATATTGTATAAAATTTTTGTAGATATGTTTGTGGATTTATTTGCTTAACTTTGTGTATTCTATATATATGTTGCTAGACCAGTTGGTCGACCGGTCGACGGATTTATCTTCAAAACAATTATTTCATGAAGTACTGTATTAGCTATTACTTTCTAAATATTTAACGCCTACATATTTTGCGAGGAGACGAAAATGTCTTACAATGAAACGATATAGTAAAAAAAGTAATAATTAGTAATATTTACAAAATTAACTGAAATATATGTGGAAAATACTAAATTATTGCTACATTTATACACAGTCCCACTTATTGTATGATAGTTTATAAGAGGGACCTTTTATTTATAATAAACCTTATTTAATATCATTTAAGATTCATTTTCGCTTCACATTCAAAGCCTCTTCGCTTTTGTACAATTATCTGTAATGTATTTTGTATGTGTGTGTGTGAAATAGACGAAATCTATTTTCTATAAGAATCTTTCAGAGTTATATATGTATATATAAATTGTTTATGTGTGTGTGTGACCAAAAATCATTATTTATGTGTGTGTTTATTTTATTCTCATACAGATATAATATCAAAATTAATCTAATATACATGTTTTAATACACAATTAGTACTATTATGCTCATTTCTGTGTGTGTGTGTGTGTGAGTGTGAGTGTTTAGTGATGTAAAGCATGATGAGGCGTGAGCACAGCCCCGCCGGGCGGTAACACGGACGTCAGTACTGGAGCACCGCCCACGCCGCCCACACCGCCCACGGCGCTCACGCCGCCCACGCCGCCCACTGAACCACCGCAGAATATCACCTGACACATTATATACTGTTAGACATGCTTATAGTGTAATAGATGTGCTTGTCTGTCTAGAGGTACACGAGATATTAAAGGACAAATATATCTTCGGATAAAAATCAATAAATGCACATACATAACAATAAACAACTTTAACTTCAATAATTATTTTATTGTATTTTTTAATTGATACTAGATTTTGGCCGTGACTTCGTCCGCTTAAATTACTGAATTAGTAATATATGTACAGCAGACTGGGCAAACTCTACTCTGCCTTAGAGGCCTTAAAGAACCAGATATTGGAATTTACTCAGTTTTTTTTCTTTAAAGATCGAATAGAATTAAATATCCTATGTTCGACTCCTTGTTCTAATCTATCTCTCCACCAATTTTCATCCAAACCCGTACAGCCGTTAGAGTTATAAATAGTGTAACTAACACGACTTTATATATATAGATTACGCGTGTTTTATAATGTTTTTCTGTGAAATAAAAATGCGTGTACATTATATTCTTATATCTTAATATCATCGGAACAATCTTAGGATAATATCTTTTTAGCTGATCCGAACAATTTAAACATAACAGTCGGAGTTATTGGCATTTAATAAAATATTCTACTGTTGGTTAATAATTTAATATATCACCTGTGAGACCGGTGTTGCCGCTTGTCCAGGTGTCGCCAGAACATACTGCTGCTGCCTGCCTCCGCCCATCTGGAAGATATTAAACATATAAATATATTAATTGAACTGTATCGTTTTCATTCAAATTTATCCTCAAATCTATTGTATATTAGTGTTGTAACTTAAGAAAGATGTACAATAACCTAGTGAATTATCTTTATATATGTAAAACAGATGAGTCCTCTCATCATTCCATGTATTCACGGTGCGTGTGTCGGGTCCATCGTTGTAGTGAAAGCAGCTTCAACAGTGACTGGGACTTACGACCCAGGTGTAGGTTTAAGGGTCCCTATCTAACGTTAAACGCTCACCACCACTGTCCAAGCTCCTCTCCCTACCTAACCAAATTTGAAAAGAACATACTAGGGCTGCCTTCGATGTGCGTTCCAAGCAGTGGCGGCTGTACCTTAAGTGCACTCGTGCGCTGAACCACCAATTCAAAAGATTTAAAAATTACAAAATATTACTTCATCATTATTTTTAAATTAACATTTTAATATTTATTTTTTAAACATTTAAAAAATAAATTTCAAATTATGAGTTTGAGCGCTTTACTAAACTAATATCTCGTGCGCTTCGGCGAGTGCACGAGGACGTCTAATACATCTTGTATGAGATACGCATTAATACGCCTGACGCGTGAGACAAAAGATAGTTCATAGAAATGTACCGAGTAATGAGTCGGTTCTCGAGCGCCGCACGAGCGGCCGAAGATTACCGAGAGCACCCGATGTATGACGATTTGAGCCGTGATTGACATCTCGTTATGTTATGTTGCCTTTTCTAATTATAATATTTTAGTAAAGTGCACGATTACCCACCAGCCGCCACTGGTTCCAAGAATGCATTAATGTGAGTTCTGGACAAGCCCAAGTCTTTTAATAGGTTGTAGAGAGATTTCGAAGTTATACCAATATATAATATTTGTCGATCTGTATGTTATGATTTCTATGTAATGGCTGGACTAATTCTGTTTGCACTTTCACTGTCTTATAGCTGATGTAATATTTAATAAGTTAGGCTACTTTATATATACATATACAGGGTGACTGGTGAATTACTATCGATACTTGAGGACGTGATATTTGACGATCATATATGACAAAATAAAAATTAATATAACATAAATATTAATAAACTTCTAAGTAAAGTTAACCAAAAGTTATGTAATTAATTACGCATCGTATGAACACCCTACAGATTAGGTATACACTCACACTCACACATAAGCGAGCGGGGCGTGGTGTTGTATCAGCACGCCGCCGCACGCGTCCACACTTGGAACACTTGGAACGTGTCAACACTTTATTTATTTATAGGGAAATTTTGTCAAAAATTAAGTGCCTATATTTTTTACATAATTCGAATGAGAATCATGTACCGAGTATTCTCCTTAAATATTAATAGTAATTCACCAGTCACCCTGTATATAATATTAGAAGAATATATATTTATATATGTTTCTAAGTCACCTGGTGTATCTGCGGTTGTTGTATCTGTCTGTGTGAGTCTGTCTCCACAACAACTTGTTCCATGAAAGGTCCCCCACTCGCTGTTTGAACATATAAACAATAAACATATTAATAAAACAGTCATTATACATTTAAATATATATACTACATATATATGCTGTAGAAGATATTTGACCTCATTCACATATATCTTCTTTCACCTGGCAATTTCCCAGCTTTAGCCAGGGTCTTCCGCTTCATTTACTATATACAACGTGTAACGTAATTAACGCACACCCTCAAACACCCCAATTAGAATATAATAATATAAACGCAATGCATACACCAAATATTATTTATATGTGCGTTAGCATTTTTTATTTGTGAAAGTAGTTATCCCAATTTCGTGCAAATAATATGGTCAGCTATTCACCAACACTCCGCTGCACACGCACACACAGACAGACACAATGTACTCGCCGTGCCCGCGCCCCTCTCTCCGAGTGCCATCCGACAATAATAAGTAGTAGGTAATAATAAGTACACGAAATAACTACATTATGATTTATGATTCTTCTTTCCATCACACTTTTCAGGCTTAAGATTGTCAAAAAAATTAATAAAAATCGGTCCATTAGTTTGAGAGAAGTTCAGTGACATACACACTCACAAAAGAATTATATATTGTATATTAACCGTTAGTATTAGCAGTGGAGGTTTCACATCCAAACAGACAATGCTGCACCGTCCATCGTGGCTCAAACGGAATGTGTGTCTTAACCTGGAATTGAATAAATATATCATTAGTGCTGTAATTATGATATACTAGCTGCGCCCCGCGGTGTTACCGAGATTTCCGGGATGTAAAATAGCCTATGTGTTATTCCTGGACGTCAGCTTCCTTTATACAAAATTTTATCAAAATCATTTCAGCCGTTTCAGCGTGAAGAAGTAACAAACATACATACACTCACAAACTTTCGCAATAATAATATTAGTAGGATTAAATATATTATATAAAAGTAATTTTATTCATAATATTACAAAGACGCTTATTAATATACTATACAGGGTGACTGGTGAATTACTATCAATATTTAAGGAGAATACTCGGTACATGATTCTCATTCGAATTATGTAAAAAAAATAGGCACTTAATTTTTGACAAAATTTCCGTATAAATAAGTAAAGTGTTGACACGTTCCAAGTGTTCAAGTGTGGACGCGTGCGGCGGCGTGCTGATACAACACTACGTCCCGACACGCGTATGTGTGAGTGTCAGTGTATACCTAATCTGTAGGGTGTTCACACGATGCGTAATTAATTACATAACTTTTGGTTAACTTTACTTAGAAGTTTATTAATATTTATGTTATATTAATTTTTATTTCGTCATATATGATCGTCAAATATCACGTCCTCAAATATTGATAGTAATTCACCAGTCACCCTGTATATACAAGCTGACCCGGCGAACTTCGTACCGCCCTATAATCAAGAAATATCTGTTACACACTACAAATTATCCTGTAGAAATCAATGTGAAAAATACTAAGAAATGGTAAATAAGTGAAGTAGGTATTTTGTTATTAAAACTCCGGCCACAGACAAACTCCGACCGATGTATTTGCTAAGAGAATGTAAATTTGTTTTTTGGTGAAATAGATTAGAACAAGGAAAAGCACATAAATACTTTACATCCGTTTAGAAAAAAAACTAAGTTAAACAAATAAAAATCTTATCTACTGTCTTTAAGGAGAGATAATTCGCCTGGTCAAAGACATTTCTTATTCTGAAACTAATACAGATGGAGTCGCGGGCAAGAACTAGTATATATATTTATACTAGCTATATAGCAGTTTCGCCCGCGTGGAGTTCGTTTATATCGCGTTTCTAAGCGAACCTTTCAAAAGTCTTGAATAAAAACTATCCTATGTTCTTTAAGGTCAACGCTATGTCTGTACCAAATTTCATTAAAATTAGTTCAGTGGTTTAGGCGTGAAAGCGTAACAGACAGACAGAGTTACTTTGACATTTATAATATTAGTATACTACATACCTTTAATTCAGTTGTCAACATCAATATATGCCTGCATGGTAGTCGGAACACTTTGCTGAACAGACATGAGCATTCCTGTGTTGATGTACCGTACTTACAGATGGCAGCACTGCTTTGACGTCTGGAAACATACAGAAATTACTAAATTAAGTATTAATATATAGAAAAGTGTTTAAATAATCTCTCTATTAGTAAATATAGGTACTTTTTATTTTTGTTAGATGACACTTATTGAATATTAAGGTATCACTTTTAATTAATATAGAATATTTTGTATCAGATAATGATGAGTATTAAATTTTTATGCCAAATAATGTCTTAGATAAGAACAATGAACAATGAATGATTTGTCAGTGTTGGTAGAAGCGTCTATATTTTGAAATATTAAAAATAGTTGGAACAATAATATATTTCTTCTTCTTCTTCTACCTGGCAATTTCCCAGCTATAGCCAGTCTGCCTAACATGTTGTGAATAGTTTTGGCTAATTGTTTTTACGACCGGCCGCCTGCCTGACATCAACCCTCTTTGGGAATGCATTAATCAGTGATGTCTAAATACTCTTATAAAGTACATATGACTCGGTAAAATCACATTGGTACTTGACAGGATAGAACCCGAGCAGTCGTGTATGAGAGGCGGGCCCTTTAACCACTAGGCCACCACTGACTTATTATATGTATATATATATTAAATAATATATTATAATTCACCTGCTGACCCTATCGTCCAGACTCTTCTGCGCCAGTTTCGTCTGGTGCGACATCAGGTTGTAGGCGTATTGTGTTATAGTGTCGGTTGGAGATTGCTTTGATGACTCCGTTTCCTGGAAATATTATAACAATATATATATATTTTAATTTTTTATTTTATTTTATTTGGGAAACAGACAATTTAGAAACACTGTAATATAAAAATAAAAATAACAAAAAACAAATTGAATTAAATTAAATCAAAATTGAAAGTAAATAAAAACAAAAGAGTTAAAAACATTTAGCATTTAAGATATCCCGAACTGCTCCTTTATAAATACTAATTTTTGGGCAAAAAATATCTATGTTTAGGAAGTTAGTATTATAACTAAGGCAAGAATGGAACAAAAATACATTCTTTGTAAATTATATAAAAACATATAAAAGATAGTTAGAAGAGATCTAATGCTCGTGTTGTACATTTTTAAAATAATAAGGGGTAAGGAGCACAATCAGGCTGTACTCGGACAGATAGGATTCTTTGTTCCTGATAGATATGTACTGCGAAAAAGCCAACCACAGCTATTAGCTATTCTAAGAACTACACATTCTCAACTATTACATAATAAAAAACAATACAATACATATTCTATTTGTGTATTGCACTTTGAATGAATTCACAAGGAATGTTTTGTATATAATTTGTTATAAAATGTCATAGTTATGTAAGTTAATTTTAAGTTTATTAAATAAAGTCTACACCATTGTATTGGGTAAGCCTGTAAGGATGATTGTAATGTAGTATAAATAAATAAATAAAATTGTATGTGTTTGTAACTGCTTAATTCTGATAAAATTGCGAATGGCAGATAGCTTATTTAATAAGGAGTGAAATCGCCTACTTTCCTTTTATAAGTTTTATTATATTAAATATATATGTATCCCGCGCAATGTTGTACGAAACTAAGTAGAACTTAATCTACTGCTTTACACATATACAAGTATTATTTACATAAATTCTAACTTTTTTATGCAGTATATACAAATTATTACACTAAGTGTCAAAAATATTTGATCAGAATTTATTATATGAATGAAATTACTATCCCTACTAATATTATAAATGCGAAAGTAACTCTGCCTGTCTGTCTGTCTGTTACACTTTCACGTCTAAACCACTGAACTGATTTTAATGAATTTTGGTACAGACAGAGTTGACTTTGAGAAAGAACATGGGATATTTATCCCAGACTTTTGAAAGATTCTCTTGGAAACGCGATATAACCGAACTCCACGCGGGCGAAGCTGCGGGCGGAAAGCTAGTATTATATATACCCTGAGCCTGGTGATGGCAAAGTTCCGTCTCTCGTCCTCCAAGGTGTTAGCGACACTGAAGAATAAGGAGACAAACTCGTCTGGCTGCATCTGGCTACGGATCAGGGACTGGAACTTTGAGCAGAGACGCTCCAGACCCTGGAATTATGGAAATAATATTAACATAACCATATCATCAGTGGTGGCATAGTGGTTAAAAAACCCGCCTCTCATGCACGAGGGCGCGGGTTCGATCCTGTCAAGTACCAATGTAATTTTTCCGAGTCATATGTACTATGAGAGTATTTAGACATCACTGATTAATGCATTCCCAAAGAGGGTTGATGTCAGGCAGGCGGCCGGTGGTAAAAACAATTAGACAAAACTATTCACAACATATAAGGCAGACCCTGGCTAAAGCTGGGAAATTGCCAGGTAGAAGAGATCATCGGGGATAATTCCGCGTATCTACATTGGAAGCAGATTATCAGAAGGAAGTTTGAGTAGAAATATTTTCTATTGTAACGACTTTTAAGATATTTTTTCACAATCCTACTAATTATATAATTGCGAAAGTTTGTGAGTGTGTGAGTATGTTCGTTACTTCTTCACGCTCAAACGGCTGAACGGATTTTGATAACATTTTGTATACAGCAAGCTGACGTCCAGGAATAACACATAGGCTACTTTACATCCCGGAAATCAAGGTAACACCGCGGGGCGCAGCTAGTTAGTAATAAATTAAATACTAAATTATATATGTTACCTTGAAGCGGGGTATGAGATACTGAATAAATTTGATGAAAAATTTTGTACTCGTGAATCTTCAAGAACAAAAACTATTCTCTATCATGTGTCTACAAATATCAGTAATAAGGAATTCAAACTTTCTCTAATTGTATCATCATTAAAATATATATATTAGACAATATTAAGTAGTACTAGCCATTCCATGTATCAAATATTAAAGTATGTGTGTAAAATTATTTAATCTCATGTAAGTGAACCTATGTATTTTCTTATGAGAATAAAGATCTTTAACCATACCTTGTGTAATATATTTGTGTAGTTATCAGCTTCGAGCCAGCTATCTAATCTTGAGACTGCGCCCCCGGGCAGGGTAAGAAGCTCCCACACACGAAGAGTCCCTGCCCCTGTACCGATGATACCTCTCTTCAAAACCTGAAATTTATAGTACAAATTGATAGTATAGATATTTTTTATTTTATTTTGTCATTTTTACAGAATATTTTTATTTTATCTTTAAATTAGTATGTAAACTTTTTAATTGTGCACTGTCTATATTTAGTAAATGTTATGTACACTTGTCATCGACGTACATATCTAATGTTTTAATATAGTCACTTTAACTGTAAGTATTCAATATGTATGTTGTAAGTGTGCTTGTTGTAAATAAATAAATAAATAGATAAGTCGTGGTGTCCTAGTGGTTAAAAGGCCCGCCTCTCATGAACGAGGGCGCGGGTTCGATCATGCAAGTACCAATGTGATTTTGAAAGTCATATGTACTTTGTAAGAGCATTTAGACATCACTAACAGATGAAGGAAAATATGAGGAAATTTATAATATCAAATTATAAGTATGAAATCGCCAACCCGTCTTGAGAGAGCGTGGTGATTAATGCTCAAACCTTCTCCATGTGAGAAGAGGCCCTACAGCAGTGGGTTCTGATAGGCTGATGATAATGATCACAGTATAAAGTCTGTGCCATAGTAATTATAATATACTATAATACTTAGAAATATTTTTTAGACTGATTTTTATGATAGTTAATTATACTATTGAATTGTAATTTTATTTGCCATAACTTCAATTATATTTGAAAACGATAAATACTGGCTTCAGAGATTTTGTAGGAGATTACTGAAAGTAACGATGAAAATAGTCTTATTTCCACTTACAAAATATAGCACTCATAGAAAATGACTTGAAGTTTCATTTCGACCGTGTACTAATTACTAATGTATAGTGCGTTTGATTTAACTGAGCTTTGCATAAGTGTGTACACAGATAGTGTAGGTGTGATGTCAAATTTTTGAATGCAACCTTCTTTTCTAGTTTTTAACCGGTTTATTCTGCTTTTACTTCGCCCCACACCTTCCTCACTTCACCCTTTGTACTGGTAGCAAAATCAAATGTTGAAAACGCAATATCAATTGAAGAAGAATTTGTATATTCTAAATTTTTATTAATTAATATTATTTCTCCATAATATTCATTATATTTCCATCTTTTCTTTAACAGGTTTTGCTTATTTTATAGCACTTATGTTATGTATCTATTTAAATTATAATAAAATGTAATTCTAAAAGTTTTTTCTAACTCTACTTTTACTTTCACACAAATGCAAAGCTTAGCTTAAGTCTAACCTACTATAGGACATTGTCTCAAGTCCACTCACAAAATATAGCACTCATAGAAAAGTTGACTTGATGTTTCACTTGGAGTTTGACTAATTAGTAATTAGGTTTAGTTTAAAAGATCTTTATTCTCAACAAGACGATACATAGTCACTTATTTGAGAACATTACTAAAACATATAACATTGTTAACATTCGTCACACAAAGTTTTATTTGATCTGTAGCGGTTAGTACAAAATCAATACGAGATCTCGTCTGCCCGTGATCACGGTTCCTGAAAAGTAGCCGAAACGTCGGGAGTATGTAGTTTCTAAAATAAAACGCGAAGTAAAATCCGAAAATATTAGTTTCATTTAAATGTGTACTCGCGAAAATCTTAGATCTCATTAATACAATCTGGTCAACATAATGTAATGTATATGAAAAGAGTTGCCAGTTTGGTAGTTTTTATTAATATTTTTTTAGAAACAATGCTACGTAACGTTTTGTAAGAGACACCCCCTCCCGCCCCTGTAACGCATCGTAACGTTTTACGAGACCTCCCCCTCCCCCAAAATTGCGTTACGTAATACTTGAACGCTCCCTAAAAAACGATTAACAACCCATATATTAGAAGATATCACTGATCTTGTTTAATATCACTACTGTTTATTTTTTGTAATTTTAATTGTAGTTATAGTTTTTAAAATTTCCTTTGTAAGCGAACTTTTGTTCTTTTTGGAAATAAACTTCTTTAAACCTAATGTATACTCAGCTCCACTTTACAGACCTGTAGCTGTGCGGGCGTGTGGTCCCCTCTAAGGAGCGCCAGGGCGTACGTCTTACACCTAGCTGCCACGTCCTCCGCTGCTAACACCGCGAGGGGCGCGTCCCCTTCTTCCCTCACAGACTCCGCTGCCAGGCGCCCCGCAGCCCTGGCTGCTTGCCACACGGAACATGAAACGTGGGCTGTGGGAAACGCTGCTTCGACCTCCTGGAATGTATGTAATCATTGTAATGTATGATAACTTTTATATATAAAAATATTAGTGAACCAACAGTTCTATGTATATCCATTAGTTGTACATGTGTACCTCAAGATACTTGGTGGGGTCGCATACAACACACCGCACCTGGCGCCACGCGGGGTTGCACGACTTGAACGTCTCCAACAACCAGGTCAGATCCTCGCCTATTAATGTTGATATACCTGGAAAAATATATACATATATACAGTAGAACCTCGATTAACCGGACTAATTGTTGTCGACAGACATTCGGATAATCGAACATCCGGATAATCGAATTTATAAAAAAAATCCGGTTTTGTGAATATGTAATATTTAGTTTATTTAAAAAAAAGTAACAAATAATAAGTTCAATTTGCATTAAATATTTGTGTAATTGTCATTTGACGTACGCCACTCTCAACAACACCACTCTCTTACGCTTTGACATGTTTTCTTATCCGGACTTGTCCGTAGTCCGGATAATCGGGAATCATTATATCTGAGGGCCGGATAATCGAGTTTCTACTGTATATACATGTGTGTGTGAGAGAACCAAGATTATTGCGAGTATTCATTTACATAAATGAAACTACTAATGATTACTACACGTATTCTATCATTGGCAGATATCATTGGTCGATGCAAAGTAACCGAAACGTCGGGACTATGTAGTTTTAAAGAATAATAAAATAAGCGTAGTAATAGGAAAACATTAGCTTTATTTAAATGTGTGCGTGTGCGTGTGCGTGTGTGTGTGCGTGTGTGTGTATGTGCGTGCGTGTGTGTGTTTTATTCACCTGCACTAACTATAACAGACTTCCCGTTCCCATCTTCAGCGAGGAAAAGAGTCACATTGTGTTTAACACTGGGACTATTACCACCGGTGGTTGGAATTACACTGTTGAACTCAATACCTGAAAATATATATAGGAAATGTTATATTACATTTATTTATATTAGAATTATATATATATAAAATTCATTAGTATTCATGATTATTGTTAAAAGTGAAACGAAATCAAATATTGTTTAAAAGGAGAAAAGAAGTATGTTTGGATTTTGGTATAAATATGACTTCTGGACGCACGACGGCAGAGTTGAGAGTTCAGTGAGTGCGTATCATTGAAGTATGTGATTATGAAGAACCTTCGAGAAATACAGGAGCATTAAGAACAATTGAAGTTTAATTTTAAAATATCATGGAATATACTGGAAGAAGTGACATTTGTAACGTATGCGAGGCTGGCGTCTGTCTCTTTAAAAACAACGAATTTGTATTAAACCCGATAAATACAAAACCTCTGAAATAATTTATAGGGTTTTTTATATCATTTGATGATTTTTTTGTTTGTGTTCAAGGGGATCTGGGAATGGTTTAGATTCACAATTTTGTCTGCTGGACAATGTTTTTTAATTTATTTTTAATTTATTAGTAGTTGTTGATACAAACGTTTTTTTTACATTAGATTTGACAACTAACTAATATGTCAATCATTCTGTCGCACTTCAAAACACGGAGATTTATGGCTTTAATAGGTAAACTCCAAAAATGTAAATAAAAAACGTAACAGATATATCTTGATTATAGTATATATAGATACACTCACCCGTCTCTATACATAGAAACTGTGGCACTGCATTGAAAGCTAGCTGCATACTCGGCGTTGTGAGATAGACGCATTGTATGCAACCGGACTGTGAATGAAGTAACTTGACGCCCGCATCTGGAAATATAGATAGTATTAGATATGTAGATAGATATAGATAGTGGTTAAAAGGCCCGCCTATCATACATGAGGGCGCGGGTTCGATCCTGGCAAGTACCAATGTGATTTTTCCGAGTCATATGTACTTTCTGAGTATTTAGACATCACTGATTAATGCATTCCAAAAGAGGGTTGTTATCAGGTAGGCGGCCGGTCGTAAAAACAATTAGCCAAAACTATGTAAGGAAGACCCTGGCTAAAGCTGGGAAATTGCCAGGCAGAAGATATGTAGTTATATAGATACATTTAGATGTGTAGATATCTAGATTCATAGATTTGTTGTGCTTTTTATCTAATTCAACTTCCATTGATGAAAATAGCAACTTAATATACTGATGGTAGCATTTTGCATCTTATAACTATTTATATATAGTGATTATTCTTTAACAAAATTATTAATAATCTCTTTGTTTTACAGGTCTTAAAAATATTTTGAATTCAGTCTAATATACAACTAGTTTTTGTCTTAATGAAAATGTTTTAAAACGACAACGCTGTGCGAGTGCAAATTAAACTGTAAGTTTGTTTATGATCTTTAAATTATTGTAAAATATTTGATACACACCATTTAAACAGGCCGACTGTGTTTAACTTTATCGTAGGTATTGTGGTGTCTATTCAAATCACGCGTTATCAGCTGTTTAATAATTCTTATTTACAAATTTAATTTAACAAATCAGTAATTATAAAATATTGGCTTCACCTTAAAAAGAAAATTCAATGTCAACAGTCTAAAGCTTGAAAAGTGTGATGGAAAGAAAAATCATAATGTATGTAGTTATTTCGTGTACTTATTGTTACCTACTTCTTATTATTGTCGGACGGCACTCGGAGAGAGGGGCGCGGGCGCGGCGAGTACAGTGTCGCTGAATAGCGGACCATATTTAATTTGCACGAAATTGGGATAACTAATTTCACAAATAAAAAATTCAAACGCACATATAAATAATATTTGGTGTATGCATTGCGTTTATATCATTATATACGCATTGGGGTATTTGAGGGTGTGCGTTAATTACGTTACACGTTGTATATTGTATATATACATACACTACACTTACCATAATTTAGCTGTAGTTTCCTCACAACGAAGTCGTATTTCTGGTTGAGCCAACGAACAGCACCTGCACCAGCTGCAACCAGCTGAGCCTCGGTTGTGATGACCTGGGATTCAGACCTGGAAATATATAAATATATAGAATTACATACATATACAGGGTGACTGGTGAATTACTATCGATACTTGAGGACGTGATATTTGACGATCACATATGACAGAATAAAAATTAATATAACATAAATATTATTAAACTTCTAAGTGAAGTTAACCAAAAGTTATGTAATTAATTACGCATCGTGTGAACACCCTACAGATTAGGTATACACACACACACACACACATACGCGTGCGGCGGTGTAGTGTTGTATCAGCACGCCGCCGCACGCGTCCACACTTGGAACACTTGGAACGGGTCAACACTTTATTTATTCATACGAAAATTTTGTCAAAAATTAAGTGCCTATTTTTTTTACATAATTCGAATGAGAATCATGTACCGAGTATTCTCCTTAAATATTGATAGTAATTCACCAGTCACCCTGTATATTCCAGGTGTAATTAGCATTGGATAATACCACGTATCTACATTGGAAGCAGATTATTATCAGAAGAAAGTTTGAGTTGAAATATTTTCACAATCCTACTAATATTATAATTGCAAAAGTTAGTGAGTGTGTGTATATGTTTGTTACTTCTCCACGCTTAAACGGCTGAACCGATTTTGATAAAATTTTGTATACAGGAAGCTGACGTCCAGGAATAACACATAGGCTATTGTACATCGCGGAAAATGCTCGACCTGATAATCCGCGGGTAGCACCGCGGGGCGCAGCTAGTTAGTAATAAATTAAAAACTATATAATTACTAATTGTGAAAAATTACCTTCAAAGTGGTTAATTTAGATATGACAGATATAGTCAGTGGTGGCCTAGTGGTTAAAGGCCCGCCTCTTATGTATGAGGGCGCGGATTCGATCCTGGCCAGTACCAATGTGATTGTTCCGAGACATATGTACTTTATAACAGTATTTAGACATCACTGATAGATGAGGGAAAATATGAGGAAATCTGGACTTATAATTTCAAATTATAAGTTTGAAATCGCCAACCCGTCTTGAGCGAGCATGGTGATTAATGCTCAAACCTTCTCCATGTGAGAAGAGGCTCAGCAGTGGGCTCTGATAGGCTGATGATGATGGGTAGTGAAGGAGAGATTGTAACAGAGACAAGCCTAAGATATGTCCTAAGGATAGAGAAGTATTTGATAAAACTTGCTTAAAGCTTGCTCAAGACGGGTTGTTAATTTCCAACTTACAATTTGATATTATAAGTCCAGGTTTCCTCATATTTTCCTTCATCTGTCAGTGATGTCTAAATACTCTAAGACAGTACATATGATTCGGAACAATCACATTGGTGCTTGCCAGGATCGAACCCGCGCCCTCGTGCATGAGAGGCGGATCTTTAACCACTAGGCCACCACATTTCATTAAACATACTACACTCAAACAGACCTTTCAGCGGGTTCCCCAGGATTCTCTATGATAGCTACTTCATATTCCTGACCGTCAACTTGAGTACTGCCACTTAGTTCATACTGCTGGTAAGTATTACTGGTTTCTTCAACCGCTTGCTGGAATTCATTAAATTCTTTTATAATAAACTAGTTTTTGCATGTGACTTCGTGCGAGCTAATTTCGGAATCCCGGATAATAACTTATTTGATATTTTTAAAATGTTAAAAAAAAATTAAGGATTTTTATAGATCCCTAATAATATTATAAATGCGAAAGTAACTCTGTCTGTCTGTCTATTACGCTTTCACGACTAAACCACTGAACTGATTTTAATGAAATTTGGTACAGACATAGAGTTGACCTTGAGAAAGAATATAGGATAGTTTTTATCTTCGACTTTTGAAAGGTTCTCTCGGAAACGCGATATAACCGAACTCAATGCGGGCGTAGCTGAAGGCAGAAAGCTAGTTTCTAATAAATATATATTTGAGTATATGTGACCAATTTAAATGTATTTCATACTTTATACACCATGTGAAGACTGATTTGCAAAATATCAAGTACATATGTCTTTATAATAATATTATATTACTATCTAGCTGATGTTTGCGTCTGTGCATATGCTAATTGAATAATTACTTTGTTCTTATTATGATGTATACATATATGTATATAAATATATATTTATATATATACATATATATATATATATATATATACATATATATATAATTGTTTTTGTTTCAATAATCATTCTGCTAGTACATGAAACTTGGATATAGCATCAAAAATATCAATATAAAAACTAAATGTTTTTTTACATATAAATTATTGGTAGATATACAGATACAAGTAAACTATGTAGTAGACAAAGGTAAAATTACAACATCACCATGAAGAATTTAATGGTTCTTACTCAATAATGTATGTTAAGAAGAAAACTTCTCGGCATTCCATGGATTGCATATAGAGATATAGAAGAATATATAAAAGACAAGCTTTCCGCCCGCAGCTTCACTAGCGTGGAGTTCAGTTATATCGCGTTTCCAAGAGAACCTCTCAAAAGTCTGGGATAAAAACTATTCTGTTTTCTTTCTCAAGGTTAACTCTATCTGTACCAAATTTCATTAAAATCAGTTCAGTGGTTAAGGCGTAAAAGCATAACAGACAGACAGAGTTACTTTCACATTTAATATTAGTAGGGATATATGAATGAAAAACTGTTAATTTTCCATATGTTGTGACGATTGTAACAAATATTGAGTATACTCCTATAGTAAGCAATTAATTTGTTAGTGGTAGGACAGAGTTATGTATATGTTTGAAGTTTTAATGTTTATTGTAAAATACTAAGGAATTTATAATGTAAGAGGAAATAAAATTGAATAATTATATTACTATGTATGTAAACATATTATTTTATAGTAATATTTATTTTATGTAAATAATTTTATTTGCACTCATATTTTAAGTAAATAGTTATTCATTCAAAATTATACTGTTTGTATTTCTGTGTATGTAATACATAATATTATGTGAAATTAATGCACTTTAGTTGATAATATAATTTTCGATCATATAACTACTGTTTAATTAAATTCTTTTACTTCAATGGAATTTTTCATTAATTACTTTGCGCTTTTACTATTATTAACTTATAATAAATTATGAAAACTATATTATATATACGTAATAATGATACTGGCTTACATTGTTTACTTCTGACGCGTTCTGAACGAAGGGACCACCTTCTTCTTCAGGTTCGCCCTTCACGTCGTAAATCGTCTCAGCCATAACGATTCTCCCTGAGGAGTCCATAGTCCACATACCGCCGAACGCGAAATTAGATGGATTTGAGCTCTGCTCATATAGTATAACAGTGTTAGGACCTAATTGTACAGGTTCGCCTTTCATGTTGACAAATACTGGCTGCTCGAAGTTTCCCTCGACCAATTGGCCTGTATGAACGATCTGCTGGCCCTGTTCTACAGGTACCTCAACCACTTGATTCACCTCAATTTCCACTTTTTCCTTTTCATTATCATTTTTCCCGCGGTTTCCCATAATCTTGTGTTTCTTCTCACCGTCCCCGGGATCATCGCTTTTCCGTTTGATAACAGTTTTCTTTTTATTCTTCTTGTCCATTTTCACTAATATATATTATCGGTTGCACTAAAACGCGCACATAATACACCTGGACGAGGTATTCACACAAAATTCTAAAGAAATAACATATATCTCAACGCCTCGCCCAGTTAGAGACATTGTTTAATTTATTACTTCTAAAACAGTCTTAAAGTTCATTTATCGCTATAACTTAAAAAATGTTAGCATTTTATAAGTTTTGTAAACAATATAATTTGTTTTGATTGTAATAAAATGAGAATATAACGTGCGAAAAGGACAACTCACAGAGACGCCATTTCTAATCGCCAACTCATCTATCTATCTCTTTTTTTTAATGCTGCTGCCTTTGTTACTCGTATTTTCGTTTAGAAACTAAACAATTCAAACGTCAATGTTCTCGTTGTTGGTAGTATGAATGAACAAATGGAATTCTAAACGCAAAGTCAAGAGCATGTGAATCTGACAGTTGTTGTGACATAATTTGTTTTATATGAAAATAAATAAATTCAATGCAAAAGAATGGTTATATGATTATTAGAGACTCAAATAGTTCTTTTCTATTGTTGTTTTGATACAACTTTACTATTGGATGTAGGCATAAATAATTAAAAAGTCCACTATTCGAAAACCTTGGTCTGAAGGCTAACAAAAGTTACGTTTCGTTCTAGTTAATGTAATGAGTCATTATCGTCTACATGATCATTCTAAATACGCTCACGGTACTCATTCAAATAGCGTTCATAGTTTTTATGACACTGTTGTCTATGAATATAATAAAATACTTCACTGGTGTCGGTAAAATGGTGATGGTAGCGCCGGCGCTTTTCGTCAACCATGGTGGAGGTCCGATGCCTTTGCTTGGCGAAAAAGATCATTTAGGACTCACCAAGTTCCTGAGAGACGAAGTTAAGAAACATGTGAATCTTAAGGAAATAAAAGCGATAGTTTTAGTAACCGCTCATTGGGAAGAAAGCGAGGTAACGATATCTTCAGGCGATCGCCACGAACTTTATTTCGACTACTACGGCTTCCCTCCGGAGACTTACAAGTACAAGTATGACGCCCCCGGCGACCCGGAACTCGCGAAACGAATTCAGACCGCATTAAAAAAGGCTGGCGTACAATCTAAGTTGGATCCCAAAAGAGGTTGGGACCATGGAGTTTTCGTGCCAATGCTTTTAATAAACCCAGTAGCTGATATACCTATAATACAAATATCTGTACTCTCAAACCAGAATCCCGAAGAGCATTACAACATCGGCCAAGTATTAAAACAATTCCGCAAAGAAGGTATCGCTATATTCGGCTCGGGAATGTCTTATCACAACATGAGAGAGTTCTTCTACGGCCGTAATGCTGGCAGGGTTGTCAATGAGGAGTTTGATGAGTTTTTGAATGATGCTTGTACATCGGGGAATAGTTTGAGAAAGGAGAAATTGTTATTGTGGGAGCAACAGCCAGGAGCGAGGGAGGCCCATCCCCCACGAGCGGCCGAGCATTTAATGCCACTCATAGTTATTGCCGGTGCCGGAGGTGAGGGACCCGGTGAAAGAATCTTCAACTGGGATATGAGCGGAACATTTAGACTAAGTGGATTTATATGGAAGAATGACTGACTCTTTAAGAATTCAAACGGCCGTCATAATATTTACTAAGAAGTTAGGTGCTTATACTCAAGATATAAGTGCAATTAATTTAATTTGCAAGAAAGTTAGGCTATTTATTATAAAGATGTTTAAATTTTAATTAATTTATATGATGTTTGTTATGAAAAATGTTCATATCCGTTTGGTAATATTTGTGTTAATTAGTTAAAATCTGTATAATTTATCATTACCAAGTGCTTACTGTAACTATCAGTAAAGTAATTTAACTATCTACTGTTTGTTTTCTGTAACCGAGCCATCAATTTTAAACTATATGGGACCACTATAATATATTGTTTGAGTTTAAATATATTTATAGTCTTAAAATATGCAGTTTTTTTTAAACACTTATATACATACATAGTTGAAATTTCATAGTCAAGCAATTAATGAGATTAATTTTTCATTGCCACTTATAAATTTAGTAAGTAGTTGAATTTAAATAATAACTTCAAATCTGTTTTACGATATATACACTCTATTGAAACAGTCCTGATAATATGTTTAAATATTATATATCAAATAATTTTTTTCTTTATAATATTGGGAATTTAATCGTCAATGTGTATGATTGTTGTAGAGCTTTCGATCTGATCAATTTAAGTCTTGGGAATGATAAAGATTATGTCACTGGCGTGGGGTCCAAGGTGAGCAATTGGGTTGTTGTGGAATTAAATGTAGATTGTCTTGCTAACAACCAAATAACCTGCTGTTTATGTAATGGAGTGGAATCCAGCATTCAAACACGATTGAGATGGGAAACCCTTCCTACCTTGCTAGCGTAAAACAATTCTTCAATTTAATGTTACGGTAAGGCTAGTCACTATATGAAACTGGTCTAATATGTTATAATATCAAAATCAGACATTAAATTTTGGAAGTAAAACTTGTTATCTGATTTACAATAAGGTTGCGTTAAATGTTTAACGCTCCGCCAGATAGAGAGAGACAGAGCGAGAGGGAATGTGCGCTGCTCGAACGCATGCTTGCAATCAATTTTGTCTTGTAAGTAATACAATTAACTTTGTCTTAAAACACTAAAGATTTCTTAAAAATATGTTTCTAACCCTTCCTGTGTTCATTATAATATTTCAAAGTTTCACTTCTTCTGCTCGAACGAACTCCACGAACACATTCGATAGATGGCGTTGTACATTCGTTAACATTTTTAATCACACATCGATTTTTAAGGACACGATGAATTAGGTCAAAGATCAAAACTAATTATTACTATTATTGAACGTGACTTTGATTAATAAAACAAGCAATAATAATTGTTTTGAATAATTAATTGAGGATAATTATTTGTTTCAATCCTCAAGGCCGGATGTAGCTGGCAAATGTTATTGTGTTGTAATATTTACTAGAATATTTTATAATGTTGCAAACGTTAGGTTTCTTGAATATTCAAAGTTATTGAAGAATTTTCTCGATTTTTTTCACATATAACAACTTCTACGCAGTATTAGAATTGTTATTAAGTACTCAATACCATTCTCACACTCAGCACTTGGTAAAAGATTGTCATAACGATATTCTTTAGACTAACACAGTGAATAAACCTCATTGAATATAGATATGTGTTTTTCATCAGAGACGAAACCTCTCATCATTCAATGTATTCATCGTGCGGGTGCCGGGTCCATCGTTGTAGTGAGAGGAGCTTCAACAGTATGTACCTCGGACTTGTTACCCAGGTGTAGGTTTAAGAGGACCCTATCTAACTAGCAGCTATGTCAGAATATATGAAAAAAGGCAAATGGATTCGATAAGCGAATTAATGGTTTTTATTTTAATAAATTAAATTAAAGTGTCTGCTTGTAATTTTAATAAAAACTTATAGGCACATGGAACTATACACGATACCTAGGTATACAAATCTACTATTTTTAAACTCTTTCTTTATCGGCCTATTCCGGCTATTCCTTGGAAGGATGGTAGCGATTTTGATTGGAATCTTACTCGCAGAAAATTAAAGTCTTAAGGAAAAACTGTCTACTTTTTAACCAACTTCAAAGTAAGTTTTCTATTGAAATATATATTTGTTACCTATTTTAATTGAAGGACAATTTTCCAAACATTCATTAAATCGAAAGAACATTGCCATAAGATAGTTAATTGCTATTAACTCACATCAAATTTTTAAAATTACAAATAACATTTCTTTTTAATTACAAATTTGCATCAAACCTCATTACTTTAATCATAATATATTAAGTCTTCAACATCTTTCATTTAAAAAATCTGTCATTTTCTAATACAAATAAAACAAACATTTCTATTAAAATAAATAACTTTTATATTTTACACAGCACAGAGACAGGACGGCATTGTAGGGACGACACTGAAAACAAAGATTATTATAAATAATTAATTTGTTTATGTGGGTCTACTTTTATAATATTAGTAAAATATAGATTGACAAATAATATTACATACATATTATATAAGCATAGATATTTTACTTAGAATTATTGGAGCCGTGGTTTGTGGATTTAAAATTTAAGCCGAGAATACATCGAAGTGGTATTGTACCATGACAAAACAATCAAACATACAAATTAAATTTTTAAATTGCATATTATTGTTGACATTCTGAAATATCTGTCAAGTTTTTTATTTACAGATAAATATGGTAAAATAATATATATATGAAAGATTTTTCAAATATTATACAATATCATTTCTATATTAAAATATATTTTCAACAGACCAAAATACGAGTATACTTTTAACACGATTATTCATAGCTTAATCCTTAACGCACAAATACAATAAAAGCTATAAAATAACTTCAATAGCTTAAAAAGACAAAGTAATTAACAAAAACCAAACTTACAAATCATCAGTACGAATATGATCGGCGCCTTATCTTGTACCGCCTGTCACAGTAGCGACATCTCTTGAACGAGCCGGAACGTGAGCGACAACGCCATTGGTAACTAAATATTAATAAAAACAAAATAAAATAAGCAAATATAACGAAAACACATTGTATAAAGCGGGAAAATAATAATTAATTGCCAACAAATGATCATTTTAAAGTATTTCATATGATGTATATATTTTGTAAAATTTTACGTGTCAAAAAAAGGCGGTAAAAATTTATATATATATGGCCTAATGAATTCTAAGACAGTTTCAAGGCAGTATATAAAATACTTCGAAACTATCAGTAAACCAGTAATAAACGCACTACCGATACTAAAAATAATATTTTGATATATTTAAATTAATATTAAATTTGCAGAAACGAAATTTCTGATTTTTTTTCATCATTTCGTCCTTTTCGACAGGCTAAGATCTTAAACCATTCTGCCTAGTCACAAATACCAAATTATTATTTTTTTTCTCATTTCGTCTTTTTTGGCCACGCTAAGGTCTTATATCATTCTGCCAAGTCATTAGTATTTTTTTTTACCGTCCCCTACGTCTGCATCTAGAGCGGCGATGGCTGCGTCTCCTACAGCCAGATCTAATGCTGTACCGCCTGTCTCCGGATCGGCAACGTTTAAATCGGCCTTGTTTGGTGCGGCAACGACTGGAATTATATAATTTATTTAATTACCGTCAAAAATATTAATTTAATTAAAAATAAATTTATCACCTTAACTGATCTGCCTTGAAAAATTAATAAATTTCAATACTACCTTTGTGTATTTAGTACTCACGTTTTGCACATTCTGAAATTTAATTAAGTATTATTTAAAGTTTAGTGATTGATTAAATTAAAAAATATATAAACATACTTTCGTTTCCGTCGACATCGCGCCATTATGTCTGTAAAATATAATAATATCAAAATGCATATATAAATGCGACTAATATTTATAATAACATACCTTATATCATATAAATCCTATTTTCACGAACATTTATATGTATTTCTGTATATTAAACACTCACATCTGTAAATTTGTATAAAAAAATATACGAAAAAGACTTAAAGAATCGACATAACTATATCTGAAGCATTGTCACTCGCAAAATCCATTTTCAAATTTCCGTCAATAATTTTTCCATTTTGACACATGATATACGAACTCTTTGGTGGCTTAGTGGTTAAAAGGCCTGTCATGCATGAGGGCGCGGGTTCGATCCTGGCAAGTACTAATGTGATTTTTCCGAGTCATGTGTACTTTATAAGAGTATTTAGACATCACTGACTGAAGGAAAATATGAGGAAACCTGGACTTATAATATCATAAGTTTGAAATCACCAACCCGTCTTGAGCAAGCGTGGTGATTAATGCTCATCTTCTCCATGTGAGAAGAGGCTCAGCAGTCTCTGATAGGCTGATACAAACTCTTACATAAAAAGAAGGTTGAGGTTTATTAAAAAATATATATATATATATCTTGCAAAGCTATATTATATCACAATGTGCTTGTATTATTGCTTGAAATTTATCTTGTATCCCTTGGATTCCGGGTCTTGTTCCAGCTTGAAATTTTCCGTGGATAGACCGAATGGCTTGAGTATCATATTTCCTAAATCTTTTAGTTTTCCAAGCATTTCCGTTTTGAGTTTTTCGTTCCTCTCCTCTATTAATGGCGGCAGACGTATAATGGCTGCATGCGCTTCTTTGTGTGAAGGGTCTAGTTCTAGAATCTTCTTGTAATCTGCAAGACATTCATCTAGCTTGTCCGTGGCCTCGTATGACTGAGCTCGTCTGGAAGCATAGAGAATATTTAAAAATTATTATTTTCTAGCATATGAATAAGTCTATAACTTTGAAATTATTTGTCAGAAGGAAACATATATGTATACTAGAAGACCCGGCGAACTTCGTATCGCCCTATAATCAAGAAATATCTGTTATGTTTTTTATTTATATTTTTGGAGTTTACCTATTAAATCCATAAATCTCCGTGTTTTGAAGTGCGACAGAATGATTGACATATTAGTTAGTTGTCAAATCTAATGTCAAAAAAAACGTTTTATCAACATCTACTAATAAATTAAAAATTAATTAAAAAAACATTGTCCAGCGGACAAAATTGTGAATCTAAACAATTCCCAGATCCCCTTGAACACACACAAAATATTTCATCAAAATCGGTCCAGTCGTTTGAGAGAAGTTCAGTGACATACACACTCACAGAAGAATTATATATATAAAGATATAAAAATTAATCCCTTTTTCCATTAGTCATGGCATCACGCGTGAATGTCTGGAAAGATTTCACTAATTCTTTTTTTATTGTGTTTGTTATTATTAGGAGAAGGTGTGTAAGAAAAAAATACGAAAATGATTAGAAAAAAAAACTGGAAAATTTCAATTTTTTAATAAAGATATTAACTTCATTCAGATAAAAAAGTAACAGGTATTTCTTGATTATAGGGCATATACACACATTCAATACATGCATCCTCACATTCACATCTATAATATTAGTAATATTGAAATAGTAAGTAAGGTAATAATTATGTTGCTTATAAGGGAAGGGAGTTACATTGTGAAATATTATTTATTTAGGTATTAACATTAACAAACATACATTCAAGATATAATATATATACAGGGTGACTGGTGAATTACTATCGATATTTGAGGACGTGGTAGTTGACGATCATGTATGACAAAATAAAAATTAATATAACATAAATATTAATAAACTTCTAAGTAAAGTTAACCAAAAGTTATGTAATTAATTACGCATCGTGTGAACACCCTACAGATTAGGTATACACACACACTCACACATACGCGGCGGGGGCGTGGTTTTGTATCAGCACGCCGCCGCACGCGTCCACACTTGGAACACTTGGAACGTGTCAACACTTTATTTATTTATACGGAAATTTTGTCAAAAATTAAGTACCTATTTTTTTACATAATTCGAATGAGAATCATGTACCGAGTATTCTCCTTAAATATTGATAGTAATTCACCAGTCACCCTGTATATATATATATATATATAATATGTTATCTATTGTTCAACTTCGTCAAGATAAGTCAACCATGATTTATTACTACTATATAAAATAAATGTATGCACATTTTTTCTTTACATACATATATGTATATACCTATATATTTACCAAAACTCAATTAACATATTAATATGTATTACAATGTAAATAACATATATCACTACATTTCAAAACACTTGTATAGTGTATGAAGTTTAATTTCATTAATTTCTACCCAAACTAAATCTTATATTGTTTCATGGTTATATGGGAACATTAATACATACATTTTTTTTATGTGATAGGTGGCAAATGAGCAGACGGCCTACTTGATGGAAGGAAGTTACCATTGCTCATGGATATCTGCAACATCTTAGTTGGGGATGCGTTGCCAACTTAATTTTTTTAGGAATATAGGGTGGGAAGAAAGTATAGTTAGGAAAGAGATGGGAGTAGGGAATTAGCAACCGTCTCTTTCACTCATCGGATGAAACGCAGCCTTAAAGACTACTTCAATATTCTATGAGAGGGTGGTACTTCCCCAGTCGAGCCAGCACATGTTCTATCTATAGTAACTGACCACAGCTAAGTTCTACCACCTTTAAAATATATATACAAATCTATTTACCTGTAATATGCCTTAAGATATGTGTCATCGAGTTCCACAGCCTTTGTACAGTCTTTGATGGCTTGCTTGTATTTTTCCAGCTTCATCTTTGATGCACTTCTGTTGCAGTAAAGTATTGCACGTTGCGTTGTGTATTGTAGTGGACAAATTCGGAGAGCTGAAAGTATGGACAGACATCTTTATATATATAATTCTTCTGTGAGTGTGTATGTCACTACTCTCAAACGAGTGGACCGATTTTGATGGAATTTTTTGTGTGTTCAAAGGGATCTCGGAATGGACAATGTTTCTTTAATTAATTTTTAATTTATTAGTAGCTGTTGATACAAACTTTTTTTTGACATTAGAATTGACAACTAACTAATATGTCAATCATTCTGTCGCACTTCAAAACACGGAGATTTATGGCTTTAATAGGTAAACTCCAAAAATATAAATAAAAAAACGTTACAGATATTTCTTGATTATAGGGCGATACGAAGTTCGCTGGGTCTTCTAGTATGTATATATGACGGCAAGTCGATTTTGGATGAGTTTTATAATAAATTTAATAGGGAATACAGTTGATTTGTTCCATAGATATAGAAAGGACAGTGCTGAATAGGGCAGTGATTATCACTGAATGTGAGAATGATTATGCTATGGGTAAGGCGGCCAACCGTCCCGCATTCTGCGGGACCGTCCCGCAATGGTAGGCGAAATCCCGCTTTGAAATTTATCGTAAAATAGTCCCGCAAAACGTTGTATGCGTCCCGCATGTCCCGCATCCCTATTTTTCTACCAGACTTTTACACAACACCCATACCACGGTCAACAGTGCAGGAACACAGATTACCTATAATATGGACAAGCGTAGCGCGCCCGCGCTAATCTCGTTTTCTTTCTTTTTACTTAAATTTAATATGGGCCATTGCGAAGATTTTTATGACATTCCCAATCCCTAACACACCCCCCCCCCCCCCGCCATTCACGAAAGGTTAAGTCCCGCATTCAGTTTTCGGAAAGTTGGCCGCCTTAGCTATGGGCAACCGTCAAAGTGCACAAGCCTAATCTATTGGCTCATAATCTATTTACATCTTACTATTTGCATGTGATTTTAAATATAGTTGTAAAGAAATTGATTAATTAGATATTGGGAAGTACAAGTATGCTTTTATTTATGAGTTCCGATTGTTAAAAACCTATGATGGATATGAAAAGACAAGACTGCCATGGCTCATGAGGCATCCTCCTGACGCTCCTAAATATATCCCTGCTAATATTATAAATGTGAAAGCAACTCTGTCTGTCTGTCTGTTACGCTTTCACACCTAAACCACTGAACTGATTTTAATGAAATTTAGTACAGAGATAGATTTGACCTTGAGAAAGAACCTAGGATAGTTTTTGTACCAGACTTTTGAAAAGTTCTCTGGGAAACGCGATATATTCCAAATCGACGCGGGCGAAGCCGCGGGCGGAAAGCTAGTAGCATATATATGTATGTCACTTTGTTACTAAAAGTACAATAACAAATGCTACATTAAGTTCATAAAGAATGTTTCAAAGAATGTTCAGATTCAAGAAACTATACATAACTATATGACGGCAGTTCTTTTACATACTATAGTATATATATTACCTCAATATAACAAATAAAAACTTGAAATATAACACGATTACTAATAATAGTTACACAATAATGAAAATAAATGTTTAAAAAACTGAAAACTATCTGTTTGGTGTGATAACGCTTACTTAGATAAGGTGTGAGCTTAAATTTACCTTCTGTATATTTCTCTATGCTTCTATCAAAGTCTCCGATCTTGAACGATTCATTGCCGGCCCTCTTCAACTCCTCAGCGATCACCTGCCGTTCAGCTTTCTCATCCTCGGTCAGATCCATTTCAGCATCTTTGAGAGACGTCTCGTCTATTGAGTCTGAGTCGCTTTCTTTGTCGCTGTCTTCATATTTGCTGTCTATTTCCGTCTCGTCGTTGAATGTGTTACTTGCTGGGAAAATGTGAAAAATTAAGTCAATGGTGGCCTAGTGGGTAAAAGGTCCGCCTCTCATGCAAGAGGGCGCGGGTTTGATCCTGGGCTGGGCAAGTACCAATGAAATTTTTCCGAGTCATATGTACTTTATAAGAGTATTTAGACATCACTGATTAATGCATTCCCAAAGAGGGTTGAGGTCAGGCAGGCAGCCGGTCGTAAAAACAATTAGCCAAAACTATTCACAACATGTAAGGCAGACCCTGGTTAAAGCTGGGAAACTGCCAGGTAGAAGGAACAAATTTTAAGATGAAGTGACTTATAAAAGGTCTAGGTTTGTTATAAATAATAGAGTTAAATTTTAATTTCCCAATTTAGAGTATCACTTATTTTGTATTACCACTATCGGGTGAGTATGAGCGAAATACTTTTAATCAGTTTTAAATTTGAATTTTCGTTTGGTGAATTGTAATGAGGTGTGGTTAACCATTATCATCAATTTACTCACCAGTGGGAATATCTTTGCTTGTTTTATCTTTAGGTGACTTGTTTTCATCTGTAGTGGATTCTGGATTCACAACAAAATCTCCTTCGCCAGTTTGTAGAGACATTTCTAGATCTTTAGTTAAATCTTCAATGACTTCTTCATTCGATATATTGTTCGTTTTTAGCCTCTCAGACATTTTTACCTATTATCTAAGCTAATAACGGCTACACATAAATGATATACACTGAATTTGTAAATTAAATGCGAGAATTAAATAATCAATCAAGTATTTCTTCACAGTAAAACGATTTAAGTCTTAAAACTTAGTTTTAACCATTGTTTTGACGTATTTGACGTCTCATGGTAAAGAATTCTAATAATGATATGACAAATCAAAAGTCGTACCAACATCCTTTTAAAATAAATCTATTTCAAGCAAAATAAATAATTTATTAATTCATAAAATATAAAAATAAAATATAGTAGCTTTTTACCAAAAATGTTTCGAGATTTAAGCTTTTTTTTCATAGAAGATGACTTCAATTCTTTTTAATTTCAATTACTGTTACTTATACTAATTTTTCATTTTATTTTCTTATATAAAACATATCATTATTGTTTTATTCAAAATCATATAATATTTATCATTGTTACAAATATGTCATTGTCATTTTACGTGAAACTGATTAACCTAACTTTGCATTACATTACAACGAATGTCGAAAATTGTAATTCAGGGTCAGATATTATCGTATATTCAGACGATTAGTTTATTTGAACATAGTAAGTGAGTTCTGTGTGATTAAATATAATCAAGATGTTTTATAGAAATATAATAAAAACTATAGCAACAAGAACTCCTAAGTTATGTATTAATAACGGTATTAGTAATATATTCGGCAATTACAAAAGTATTATGCCGTTATCAACAACAAGATTGGTACTACAGGAAGAAAAGTAAGTATTATATATTAAATATTACTAGAAGTACACTTAAACTGGCATAATGCACCCAAAAACAATCTATACAAGTATGTTTTCTTTATAATTATCTTTAATAACCTATTTTTAGCTTCATATACGCCAATTAAAAATAATTTTCGTCTCTGTAATAATGACATAAGTTTAAAATGCAACTACACCTTTATGATCTGGTGTAGATAAAAAATTATAATTGTAAATTACAATTACAAATAATGATATATGTATATTGAAATTATTTTCTTTGACAAAAAGTAGTAATATATAACTGCACTTATCTTGTTTGCGAAGTTACTGAGTTGTTTAAATAAGTAAGTTAAATCTCATTTACAAATATCAAATATATATATTTTATACCATAATTAAGAATTGAATAAAAACATTATTTGGATAGGTTTGTGATTTTTTTTTTATTTTTTATTATACTTGGTATTTCTACAAATTTATCTGTTAAAAGTTTGCATCACTTATTGTTTTAAATAAATATATTTAAAAGAGGTATACATCAATTATATACTGAAAATTGTTATCCCTCACTTCAACGGTATTTCATAGCATATTTTAAACCATAAACAGTTAGGACTTTAAAGGAGAACAGTTTTTGATCTATGCTTTTTCAGTGTTCATTGCACTACTAAGTAAACTTTTCTTTTAGAATCTTTACATATTTCTTATAATATAAAAATTAAAAAGCATATTCTGCATCTGTATATATGTATATCAATATTTATTTCAATTACATATAAATAAATATAATTAAATACTCTTATCTCTACTATCTCATAAGTTAATTTAATATTTAAATTTAACCAATGTTAAAATAATTTAACTACTTGTGGTGAAATTCGAAAATAATTATTGAATTTACACAATTCCATTGTATATTCTCATTGACTTTGTCATCATTTTATTTTAAAACCATTTGTTTTTGTTTTAAAAATGTAACATGTTGTTTGGTGAGTCACAAAGCCATTTTAACTAAATAATATTGAAGTTGTATGTACTTTCATAATTTTTGTTAAATATATCTATTTTTGTGAACTAAAATCTTCAAAACACAATATATAAATAGTATGGTTTAATATATATGTTATGTATAATAATTTTAGTCTGTGACTTTGTCTGAGTCAGTGGTGGCCTAGTGGTTAAAAGGCCCGCCTCTCATGCATGAGTGCTCAGGTTCGATCCTGGCCCGGGCAAGTACCAATGTGATTTTTCTGAGTCATATGTACTTTCTAAGAGTATTTAGACATCACTGATTAACGCATTCCCAAAGAGGGTTGATGTTAGGGAGGCGGCCGGTCGTAAAAACTATTAGCCAAAACTATTCACAACATGTAAGGCAGACCCTGGCTAAAGCTGGAAAATTGCCTGGTAGAAGAAGATATCAATGATTTGTTTCAATGTTTATTTATTAACAATATTGTTAGTGAATAATCTGATTAAATTTTATCTTTATAAGTACAATGTTATTATGGCTATAAATTGTATATACCTTAATACGTGTACCTTTCTGTACTATTAAACCTACGGTATCAAAGTTTTCGTATATTTTTTAGTAACACAAACGTTATAAGTTGAGTTTAAATAGAAAAATACATTATTAAGACTTATTATACGATAAATTTCGATCGACCATTTTTTTTACGTAAATACACAAATTTATGTACACGTGTTATTCAAACAGTGAGAACAAGATATTTTATTGTACAAGATCGTCAAAAGATCTAGGAATATATTAACAAACGGGCCTGGGGCAGAGATGTAGTTAAAAAAATGCTTGGTCAAAGTATATTTATTTGAAGTGACGAAAGGTATAGATGTTATAGTCACAAAAATTTAAATAAGTTTAAACTATTCAAAATGCTTGCATTTTTAAGATTCTGACGAATATTGAATTTAGTTTTTTTTTGAAATTTTAGTTTATTTCGGCCATCTCATTTTTTTAGTTTTTTTATGTCGTGAAAATTTTAATATCTATATTTTTTATATGTAAAAGAAAGTCGTGTTAGTTACACTATTCATAACTCAAGAACGGCTGTACGGGTTTGATGAGAATTGGTTTAGAGATAGATTAGAACAAGGAGACGGACATAGGATATTTAATTCTGTTCGATCGAAACAGAAAAAACTTAATACCAATATCTGGTTATTTACGTCCTCTAGGTCGGAATAGAGTTCGCCCGGTCAGCTATACATATATTACTAATGCAGAATATAACGCGGACAAAATCGCTTACAAAAATTAGTATTATTCTAAAAATAAATTTTTTATTTATCTAAATTGTTTTGAAAATTATCATATTTGTAATTATAATTACTGTTTGATTAAAATGAAGTGATAAGTGTATTTAAACAAGTATGAGTCACTACATAAGTAGCGTTATCAGTTTTACATTCGTTAATCTTCACATATAGTATTAACGTAGGTTATTAAGTAAAAAAAACGCTTCAAATTCATTAACTATTAATCCAAAAGTAAAAACTTGTAGTAAGCATTATTATCAGTCTATCAGAGCCCACTGCTGAGCAAAGGTTTCTTCTCACATGGAGAAGGTTTGAGCATTAATCACCACGCTTGCTCAAGACGGGTTGGTGATAACAAACTTATAATTGTGAAACTATAAGTCCCGGTTTCCTCACGATGTTTTCCTTCACCGTATGTCTGTGGTGTCTAAATACTCTCAGAAAGTACATATGACTCCGAAAAATCACATTGGTACTTGCCAGGTTTGAACCCGCGTCCTCGGCAACGTAAGCCAGGCTCTTTAACCACTAGGCCACCACTGACTTGTAGTAAGCATACTAAAAATAATTAGATCGATATTTACTTTTTTCATTGATTTGTGACAGACATTTCTAGTAAAGAAATTTCTAAATATTATTGTTAAATCAAAAAATTACAGTTTTGTATAAGACCAAATAATCTGTTAAATTATTAATTGTGCGTGGAGTCATTCCGCGCGGAAGAAGTGAACCTTCGTAATATTGAAATGAAAACAGGAAGGGATAGAAATTTATATTTAAGGAATCTTTAGTGTTTTAAGACAAACTTTATTAATATTACTTACAAGTCACAATTGAATGCCCACATGCGTTCGAGCAACACGCATTCCATCTCACTCTGTCTCTTTATATCCCCAGGAGCGTTAAACGTTTAACGCAACCAAGAAAGAAGTCGCATAAGAAGTTTCATTTCAAAAATAACAATATCTGTACTAACATTTACATTTTATATTTATATCTAATTTACGTACAAAATATTGAAAATATCAGAATATTTGGACACTTTAAATTCCACAAATTTAATTCCTTAACTATTATAAAGACGTAACGGCTCATTTGTTATAAATACGTCGATCTCATATATCATAAGAAACAAGTTCGATTCCCGCTTGACAATAAATTTAATCAAAAACAAAATCAATTAAATCTTATTTATATTTTTCGTATTATCTCATTATTTTAAATAACTAAATACTTCCTGACTATTCAACTCTATGGAAATCTTTATATGTACATATATTTTACGCCTTCTACTAAAATAGGTGCAGTATAATCCGTAAATATCAGTTTCATTTAAATGAATACTCGTGAAAGTCTTAGATCTTTAGATTTTCGTAATTTTTTTCCAGGGTGAAGGTAGTTTTCAATTTGTATGACGGCCGTCGTCTGGAGACCGAAGGTAAAGTTGGTGATACACTGCTTGACGTGGTGGTGAATAATGACTTGGATATAGACGGATATGGAGCTTGCGAGGGTACATTGACATGTTCTACGTGTCACGTGGTGTTAAAACAAGTTGATTATGACAGGTAAACATACATACATACATATAAGAGTTTAATGTAATTCTTATCGATATTTGAGGACGTGATATTTGACGATCATATATGACAAAATAAAAATTAATATAACACAAATATTAATAAACTTCTAAGTAAAGTTAACCAAAAGTTATGTAATTAATTACGCATCGTGTGAACACCCTACAGATTAGGTATACACTGACACTCACACATACGCGTGTCGCGACGTGGTGTTGTATCAGCACGCCGCCGCACGCGTCCACACTTGGAACACTTGGAACGTGTCCGCACTTTATTTATTTATACGGAAATTTGGTCAAAAATTAAGTACCTATTTTTTTTTACATAATTCGAATGAGAATCATGTACCGAGTATGCTCCTTAAATATTGATAGTAATTCACCAGTCACCCTGTATAAGAAATCGATTTTCATCCACACTGTAATGATTATAATTCGTAATATAATACTCATTATAATTATACATATATGTATATGTGTAAACATACAAACGTATATTGTTAGAAAAGAAAACACGTTATGATTTTTAAAATAAACGAATGGCCGAATTATTAATATTCGAGACCAATTAGGGCATAGTTTCTTCTGTTGACAATAGTTGAGAACAAAAAGTGTCAGATTGTCAATAATGGCGCTCCTTATATAGGTGGCTTGTTAGTTTAATAATTGATTATTATAATTTAAATATATATATTTATATATATAATTTAATGTAAATCGTTGTATATATAAGAAATCGATTTTCCTCCACACAGTACTGATTATAATTCGTCCAGCAAGTAAAAATGTTGTTATTAGCAAAATTTTACACGAATCCAGTGCGAATGAAGCCTTAGTACACAAATAAGAATCTCTTCTTAAATAAAAATATTCACTCCATTCGTTAATCTCCTTCGTGTTTCCACACAGTACTCAAGATTATAATTCATCCAACAAATAGAAACTGACATTGGCAAAATATTACCCGATTCCAGTGAGAATCAAGCCTTATTATTAAAAAAAGAATCTCTCAATAATTGTACTCGACATTATAATTAGTTAAACAAATAAAATCATTGGCATTGACAAAATATTAAACCATTGTAGTGTAAATGAAGCCTTAGCATAAAAAAGTTATGGAAATTCTTTTTTAATTAGTACTTACTAAATGTCTTCTTAAAACTCAATACTATAAAACTCAGTATAGGACTTCCCATTCTTAAATCTCGTGATAGTATCACAATATACCCTAAAAAAAAACTGTTTGCACTTTAAACAAGTAGTTTTCTTAATTAAATCTTATTTCCAGGTTACCAGAAGAAGCAGGTGATGAGGAACGCGACATGTTAGACCTGGCTTACGGTCTAACTGATACGTCTAGGCTAGGCTGTCAGATAACACTGACTAAAGACCTGGATGGTCTGGAAGTAAATGTGCCTGAAAGTGTCAACGATGCTAGAAGTTGACGGGGTTATATGACGGGTTTGCATCTGGAAATAGACATTTACACCTGGAAATGAACATTTACATCTGGAAATAAACATTTACACCTGGAATAGATCATTTACATCTGGAACAGCTGGAAATTTAGTATAACTCATGGTTAATTTGATTCAAATAATATATGGAGTTAGATTCAGTTTTCATTAATTACCTGAAAAGATAAAATGAATGGAAAACTTGAATTTACAAGTTTAGTGTGATGCAAACCCACAGTAAGGCTGATAGCTCAATTTTTATTAACCAATAAATAAATATATATATTATAATTCCTTATACTTTCTAAGAGTATTTAGACACCACTGACAGATGAAGGAAAACATCATGAGGAAACCTGGATTTATAATATCAAATTATAAGTTTGAAATCACCAACCCGTCTTGAGCAAGTGTGGTGATTAATGCTCAAACCTTCTCCATGTGAGAAGAGGCTCAGCAGTGGGCTCTGATAGGCTGATGATAATTCCTTATACAGCAGCTAATGTAGGTATAGGATAATTTATTAGTAATATATATTGTTACATATGTTTGAAATATTACAAATAGGTGTTTTTTTAAATAATTGTTATCGAACCTTTTTTGACATCCATGTATAGTTAAAAATGTGTAGATAAGACAGTATATTTTTTTAAAGATTTCTATCAGTGGAATAAATGTTTTTAATGCATAATTTTCTTTTTATTACTCCATATATTTTTTTAAACTCATATTAAAAATTTTGAGGAAAATTAGTTGAAAAAACTTTTTCTATCCTCTAATATCTGTAATATTTGTATTTCAATGTTCATCCCTGCTAATATATATTATAAATGCCAAAGTAACTTTGTCTGTCTGTCTGTTACGCTTTCACGCCTAAACCACTGAACAGATTTTAATGAAATTTGGTACAGAGTGTGAGTTGACCTTGAGAAAGAACGTAGGATAGTTTTTATGCCAGACTTTTCAAAAGTTCTCTTGGAAATGCGATATAACCGAACCCCAAGAGGGCGAAGCTGCGGGCGGAAAGCTAGTACAAAAAAAAATCAAAATATAGGATTATGATATGATGAAATGAAAATGATAAATTTTCAAATATTTTTTTATTTACAATTTAATTTAATTTACAATTTAATTTTATGTAAAAAACCTCCATTCTTATTTATTTCTTATATGAGGTTGTAGGGAGACATGAATGATAAAGCTGACTATAATTTCTATGGTTAGTTAAATACTAAAATTATTTATGGTTTATTAAATAGTTTTAAATACTATAGTAATCACCAAAAGTACTTCAAGACTTATGTAGTAATAAGAATGTCCTAACTAATAGTTTTGAGTTCATTATGGTGATTTTATATGTAACATTCCAGGAATTTTATTTTTTCCAGTATTCCAGGAATAATGGAATTACCATGGCTCACACAATTCATATTTTTCAATACACTCTATCAGCCAACCAATGGGTAATGCTTTGAAATGAGACATATTATACATCGGCTCATACATGTTCTTAAATATTATATAATGTGAGCATTCAACGAGCTTTCCACCTTTCTTAGCGTGATACGGAACTATTTTCTCCTCATCAGGAATCAGTTCTGGGTTCGGAACTCTTCTCAGAACGATGCCACCAGCATCGGTGATTAATTTAGTTAATATAGCCTTTGTTAATATTATAGACTTAGATATTTCGTACTTTGTGTTGAAATTGTGCAAGTAGATGTGGCAGCCGTTGAAAATACCCGGTAATTGCTTGTATTTGTTATATCTAGAGTTCCTCGGACCGTTATATGATTTGTTACCGACTCCAATAACTTCATAACTTTTGAACGGCAACAATTTCTCTTCTGATGACTTAAGTATCCATTGAGTTGATATTATCCATAAGGAACTCACGATACCCTGAAGTACATCTAAACTTGATGGACACACACCATCTTCCTCATCGACCAGTAAATGAGTAACTTTTTTAGAAAATTTTGCCTCAACATGTAAATTGGAATGATGTTTCGATAGCGATTTTAATTTATTGTGTACTGTACGGAATTGAGAAACGCAGAACACTTGGATATCTTCGGAATCCAATTCCATATACAAATCTGATAAATAACTGATATTCACACCCTGTGTTTGAATTATATTCTCTGCGGCTTCCTCTAAAATCTTCCTCATATCGTTGCTCGCTAAATTCAATGGAGTTTCTCCTTTCGAGTTCCTAGAATTGATATCTGCTCCGTGCTTCACCAATTCCTCGGCTATTTCTTTGTGATTATATCTCACTGCCTCATGTAACGGAGTCTCGTTTCCTTGGCCCGGTACATCAATGAGTGTGTTATACTGTAATAATGCACTAACTATATCCAGACGGCCATTCTGAACAGCTTCGTGTAAAGGAGTCCAGCCAGCATTGTCTTTTGTATTCGGGTTTGCGCCTTGTTTTAATAAGTCTATTGCAGATTCAACTTTACCGAGACGGCAAGCTACATGTAAAGCCGTCTCTCCCTTATTATTTCTTTTCTCAATGCCCGTATTTATTTTCGAACTAGCTGTGGACTGTAATGTTGTGTTCACATTATCACTTTTGTTCTCTTGTTTCTTGGATTTAGCTGATTTCTCAGGTGTATATATTTGAGAGGCCCTAGAGTTACTTTTGTTTTCTTTATCATTAACTCCTAGAGCCTTTTTAACTCGTTTCTTGTTGGCACTGTTAGAACTCCCGGCATTTGATGTTTGTAAGGCGGCTTTCACTCGGAAACTTTCGAATATGTTTCCCAACTCTCTAGCTGATTGTATACAACTCTCTAAACGGTCATCAGTAAATGTTGTGCATCCCGTAATAGGTATATCGCATGTAGGACATCTGTGTAAATTTTCGAAGTGTTCCGCACAAATTATATGAAAACACGTACTCAAAGTTATAGGTTTGTTGCATAATTCAGCACAAACTCCACAGGTATAGTCACTTTGGACAGCATCCAACGCTTTGAGGAATCTATTAAGCTTTTCATTGGACATTTTAAAGTTTTGTAAATAAATAAACTTGTGAACTAAACCGCGAAAACTGTTTTCAAATGTCACAAGAGAACTATCAAAACTGACATTTGTGTTGATCGTTGTCAAAGGGAATAACTGTATGAAATAGGTTTTGTAACAATTTTAACTAATTCAAAATTGTATTAGGTATTACAGGAATATTATATGAACCTCTTTTGCACTTATAAAGGACATAATTAAATCAACCAATCAAAAAAGATGATATTTTTATAAGTTATTACAATAGTCTGAACAAGGGTGATATATTTTTTTAAATAATTTATATGTAAATCAAACTGATAACAGCCATTAACTGATTTCCAGATATTTAAAAACGATTTGGAATACAGGATTAGTAATGTTTTATAGCCAAAGTTAACTTGTAGTACTCACTACAGTATGTATGTAATAAATATTTTATTTTATGGTACAAATATGCTTAAAACTGCACAATATGAATTTAAATGACTGATCAAACATAAATAATAAAAGATAATTGATAAGTGAATGAGTAAAAATATTATTGGTACTTTGTGATTTCATCATATTAGCCTCTGCAAGCGCTTTTTATTTCACCCCCTCTCCCCTAATCAGCATCTGGCTATAAATATGGCTTTTGATAAGACGTGATAGAGATTCATTGTAATTCTTAAAATATTTTCTTATTATATACAATTGAGAGATATAAAATAATTATTGCTTATTTAATATTTTACCTTTTTACTTTTAATGAGATCCAAGACTTTCGTTCATTCATTTAAATGAAACTAATATTTTCGGATTGACTACGCGATTTTAATTTTTGATTATAAACTACATACCTACTCCCGACGTTTTAGTTATTTTACAGCAGCCGTGATAATGATAAAACAATAATGATCAAAGGTTTCTTACGAGAAATGGTGATACCAACATTTATGTTAATAACAGAAAGTAAATATGTGTAGATTTTAAATTATTAAAACACTATAGATAGGTTTTTAAGAACTTTTCAATCTTTAACATTTGTTCCAATGAAACTAATATTTACGGATTACACCTCGTATTTTATTATTTTTAAAAATTACATCGTAGACAATAACGACGATTTCGTGGTCACTTTTTCTGCAAAGTAAACGAAACTTTTTAAGTTGGTAGAGCCTAGCTGTGGTCAACTAACTACAGTTCGAACATGGGCTGGCTCGACCGGGGAAGTACGACCCTCTCACAGAAGTAGCATTTAATGGCTGCGTTACGTCCGATAAGTGAGAGAGACGGTTGCCCTTTCCCTGTTCCCACCCTTTCCTGCAATTTCCTTAGTCCCGACCCTCCCCTTTTCATAAACAACTAAGGTTGTTCGCGCATGCGCAACATAAGACAAGTTACAGATGTCCAAAGGCGACGGTGACTATTGCCTATCAAGTGGGCCGTCTACTCGTTTGACACTTCACACATTAAAAAAATGTAAGAAGTATGTAGTAGAAAATATTAGTTTCATTTAAATGAATACTCGCGAAAGTCTTAAATCCCATTATAACATTTGTTTCATAAAGTTTTACATTAACGAAAACCGACGCATAGGTACGTCGCAAAACTTTTTTCATGCAAATGTACTAAAAACAATGATCCGAAATCCATATTACTTATGATAATTTTGTTCTTGAAGAACAATTTTATTTATTATATCCTTTTTAACATTTTATTATAATTTACCGATCCTTGAGCTTTGTACCCAAATTTAAAGTGCCTATTTTATATAAATTATTCAATGTTAATGCATTTTGAAATTGTAATATATAATTATTATTAAACTAAGCTATTATTTATCAATTATGGTGTACAACTACGTCGCAAGCGTATATTTTTATTGTATATAATTTGATGCAATCAAAATAATACCTGTAATTTTAGCTCATGTTTTTTATATTGATGACAACTAAATACTAAAATAATTAAAACAATATGTATGCTATATTTATTTGTGTGTTATTTTATCAATTAAAATTAATTATTTGTTTAAAGTGAGAAATATAATACTTATATGTTATATCGGTGTATTCGTCGTTTTTTTAAGAGTGACGTCAGCATTAGTGACGTCATCAATGATTTTGTTCTTGTATGTCATCAGGACCTCAGACTCTCGAAGGAAATCTCGTAGAAGGTTTAACGAATATGTCACTTCGAACACGAACGATCTCTGCGGCGGCTCGAACGAGACTATTTGTATAATTTTTTTTTTGTAGTTTCGATTTGCCTAATGTTGTTAGCCCATATGGCTTTGTCACCGAGGGGTGGGTGGCCTAGATGGGACCCGATTTAATTCGGGCTCAAAGGACCCTACCAGGGATACGCCCGTCTTAAGGTGCCTCTAAGAGGCCGGACCTCGGCTTAGGAGTGGAGTGGTGAAAAGGTTCAGGTAATGGATTGCATGACGCCTCCTAACGACAGAACGGAAGGTTGCCTGGAAGAAATATCTGCTTAGCGATAAGGCCGCCTGTTGCACCTCATGCAAGTAATATACAGGGTGACTGGTGAATTACTATCAATATTTAAGGAGAATACTCGGTACATGATTCTCATTCGAATTATGTAAAAAAATAGGCACTTAATTTTTGACTAAATTTCCGTATAAATAAATAAAGTGTGGCCTCGTTCCAAGTGTTCCAAGTGTGGACGCGTGCGGCGGCGTGCTGATACAACACCACGCCGCCACACGCGTTTGTGTGCGTGTATGTGTATACCTAATCTGTAGGGTGTTCACACGATGCGTAATTAATTACATAACTTTTGGTTAACTTTACTTAGAAGTTTATTAATATTTACGTTATATTAATTTTTATTTTGTCATATATGATCGTCAAATATCACGTCCTCAAATATTGATAGTAATTCACCAGTCACCCTGTATAACGAAAATGTTATTTTCTAGTTTTAGTATGTATTGGGTGCAATAAAGAATAAATAATTATAATAATAACGCCGGAGCGACATGTACTCGTAGGTAGTGGGACCTCGCCTTTTGCCAGAAAAGGCGATGTGTGTTTATGATGTCTGGTGTGTTATTGGTTCCTGTCTGTATTGTTTGTTATTTGGTCGTCAGGGTCTAAGAGGACGTCTTTGGGACGCCTCATTCCTATCGGGGGTCTGAAATCTGTACTCTCGCCTCTATTTATAGCAACTGACTCATTATTGTGACTACACTTACACAGGTAGTTGTCCGGTTGATACCTGGTAATTTAACAACAATTATTGATTAAACAAATAATTGCGCCGATAATGATTATCATGTGATAAGTAAATACTATTTATGACTAACGCTGAAGTTGTATCTCAAAAAACGATTCTATGAAGGATATAAGTTGAAAATATTTTGTAGTAAATAAACCTCTTAAAATAATTTAATATATTATTAAAATTTAAATCTTCATTTGTAGATAGTAAAGCCTAGCTGTGATCAAGTTACTGCAGCTCGAACATGTGCTGGCTCGACCGGGGAAGTACCACCCTCTCACAGAAGATCGGCGTGAAGTAGTCTTTAATGGCTGCGTTTCATCCGATGAGTGAGAGAGACAGTTGCCCTTTCCCTTTTCCCATCTCATCGTTACTAATCTTTGGTGTCGATAATTTCTCAACACAATAGATGTTGCTGATGTCCATGGGCACATGTACTACGGTCTGCCGGTTGCTCTTTTTAGCATAAAAAATTAAAATAAAATAAAACAAACTCAATAAATATAATTATTTATTAATTCACTAACTAATTTACGACTAATATACATAAAATTGCCGCCAACAATACAACTGTTGGCGCCAATTTATACGCTGTACTAGAAATAACTGTTTGACAGCTGTCATCATAACTAGTCTCAAAATTAAACGGCATTGAGTCGTATGGATGTGTTTTAAATAAGTGTTCAGTTGATAAACTTTTAGTATTATTATGGAAAATAACGTCAATTTGGTGATTATACGGCCCGTACATCGTGAACATGACGTTGTGGAATGGTTGGTGCTTGCCGAATAACTGATCTAATTTCGTAAACATCGTGATAATTTCGTGTTTTCGCATAGCTGTTATGTTTTTTTTGGCGTAAATATGACCGATGTTTGACCAGGATATGTAACAGTACTTCTTGTTTTCGTCAGGACAAACTTGTTTAAGATCTACTTTCTTGTTGGACCATGGCTCGTTTATCAAATTACCTGAAATTCGTAAATTTTGTTTGTAATTTCTTATGTAGTATAAGAATTCGTTTGAATTAAAGATATTTGTTATTGAAAAAATATGTAAGCTAAGCTTAAAATCGATTTAAAATCTCTTCAATAGTATTTTTGTAGAGAACTAACATTTAAATGAAACGAATATTTTTCGGATTACTACGCGTATAATGTCTGTTGAAAAGTAACTGAAACGTCGGGTGTATGTAGTTTTTTAAAATAAAACGCGCGTAGTATATCCGATAAATATTAGTTTCATTTAAATGAATACTCGCAAAGTCTTAGTTTTCACTAATATTCTATAATATAAAATGTTTAATATTTATATGAAGAAAATGTAAATAAAGATATTTATGAATAAAAATAAATTTTTGATTATTTAACTCACTTTGGTACATTTTAACAGTTTTCATACTAATGAACGCAACATCACTCTTGCCTTCGACAATCGATCTCAAAGCCGCTACCTCTCCTCTTATCACTGTGTCCTCTTCCTTATAACAATTCCTAGTATATTTATCAGTAATATCCACTTCGAAACCACTAATTTCTACACCCGGAGCACAGATTTCACTGAAATAATCTTGTACAGCGTCGTGGCAGCTGTATTTCTCTTTGTCAGCTATATATTTGAACACTGAATGCCACGCGACGCCATCGTAGCTTGGGAACGCGGCTCTTTTTCCACGTAAATCCGCCATATTGTTTATACTGGCGTCACTTCTGACGTAAGCCATGACGGTGTCCATTTTTTCTACTATAGGAGTCACTTCGTAGAGAACGGGCTTCAAATCGAAAATCCTGAAAAAAAAATACATTGAGTGTTACTAAAATTATTGCTTGTAATAAACGTGATATGAAAATGAAAATTAGGGAGAGAAAGAGATAGAGATAAAATTTGTTAAGATTAATCAAGGAGCAGATGTTTTAATAAAGAAATTTTACTACAATATCGCCTATATAGCTTTCAACATTTCGATGGCTTCTATGTATAAGGGCCAATGTGCAAAATGTATATAAGCCCTTGTACGTTAAAAAGTTTGTCACTTATGCCCTTCTATGCAATAAAAACTAAGTCTTTCCACCAACAAATACACATTTTTCTAAATGGATGTTGTAGAATACAGTATTATGCAGTGTTTAAACCAAAAAAATGAAAGTTTTTAAATTGCTACATTGGCTCTTATACATAGGAGCCATCGATTTGTATGTACCTACCATACGTATAAGAAGCGATAACTTCTGACACTTATTTGTATACATATAAATTTCATGTCACTATTGACTTTCATATTGCCATCGAATGCCACTAACTAAACGAGAGAGATAACAATATTAGCGAAATTTATGAGTAAGCGACACGAACTAAGAGGGAACGAGATATAGAGTTATTTATATCAGCACCTACCTATTGCTCAAAAGAGAGGGAGAAAGAAATAGAGAGTTAATAAGCGCCACTAACTAAGAGGGAGATAGAGAGTTATTTATCAGCACCTACCTACTACCCACGGGTAGCCAGTCGCTGTCTTGTACAGTGACGTCACTAGCGCCGTCCCTGACGCTCCTCAGACAGTCCGCAGCGCCCGGCGTCATGACACACTGTAGCGGTGGCTTGACCCCGTACACGGCGCCCGCCTCGCTCAACCACTCGCATTTATTCTTCTCCAATAACGAATTCGTGCACATTGTTATGTGTCTGAAAAACATGTTTTTTGGAATTGGAAATATATATACTAGCTTCCCGCCCGCAGCTTCGCCCGCGTGGAGTTCGGTTATATCGCGTTTCCAAGAGAACCTTTCAAAAGTATGGAATAAAAACTATTGTGTTCTTTCTCAAGGACAACTCTGTCTGTACCAAATTTAATTAAAATCAATTCAGTGGTTTGGGCGTGAAAATGTAACAGATAAATAAGAGTTACTTTCGCATTTATAATAATAGTAAGGATTGTAGGGTTTTTGATATGATCATGTACGGAAACGAATTATATATTCAAATTTCAAATTAAATTAATGGCAAATTTGAGTAAGTTAAGACTGATTAGGTAGTCGTTTGGTGCGACTATTAGTGTAGTAATGTGATAGTTTCTCTTCATAAATAGATTATATTGATACTTTGCAATATCGCTCCATGTGAGAAGAGGCCTTACAGCAGTGGGCTCTGATAGGATGATGATGAACAAAGTATTAATCTTAGCGGATAAGCCGTAATTACCTAGGAGGATCACATCCGCTCTGACTGTAAGCTTCTCTGAAGCCTTTAGCTGATGCGAGGTAGTCGAGTGGGGCCTTCATGTGAGCAGTTACTGGGGCCTGGCGGACCTCGAGCAGTGAGGCGAGGGCCCCGCGCCAATTACTACGGAAAAGGTCCTCCTCCTGCAGTGATGATACCAGGGAACTCACTGATGCTGAAGCTTTCCTGTGAATTACACGAGGGGTTATATATATGTATATATATAATTAATAAATATATTAATTCCTTTCTACCTTTGGAACATTTTGTTACAAATCTATATGTAGTGGGTTGGTGGTAAAATTTTTGTGTAAATACATGATAACCATTTATTTAGTTGAAATAAAAGAATATATAAGATTTTTAATTAATTAATAGACGTTCACGCGTGTGGATAAATGAGTCCAAGAATAACATAATATTAACATGAATTTACAGATTTTAGCCTCTATTTTGCTCCAAACTATGCTATTTGATGCAAAAACATTCAATATGCTTTACCTAGAAGAATATACCGTCGGGAATAGTGCAAATCCGCTTAACTACCATCCGTGGATCTACATTGGAAGCAGATTATCAGAAGAAAGTTATAGCTGAATAATTTTCACAATTAGTAATTATTCACTGTTTAATTTATTACTAGTTGTGAAAATATTTCAGCTTAAACATTCTTCTTAAAGCTTCCAATGTAGATACAAGGATTTATGCAATGCTAGTTAAGCGGATTTGGATTATCTCCGTCGATATATTTATTTATGGGTTAAGGCTTACCGTTTAGCGATAACTACGGGCCAGGGTCTGTTCAGCCACACGCAGGGCTCCAAGTTCCCTGCGACAGGCTGCGAGCTGCCGTCGCGACATAAATACGAAAAGGAATCGATGTTTGCAGCGGAATTGGCCGCGGATGAGGAGTTCACCTGGAAAAGTAACCAGGAAGTTTTGAATAGGAGGATTTAATACTTAAATATGATATAGATAGTGAAATACTATATTGGTTCAAGATTTTTCGGCTATAAAGATATAGGTTCTCCCCATAGAAGTACATTAATTAAAAACTTAACTATGAAATTCTCTAAAAGTAACTAGCTCTTGTGCTAAATTCAGGAAGGGACCCATATTAATATGTTATTATCTGAAAACGTACATGAATTTGATACTCAAGTATGATATTCTCCAAACCTATTTAGTTCTCATACTAAATTTTGGTATAGAAATATGTTCTCACCCCAAAGAAGTACATGACATCATCCATTTCCCCCCACAAAGCGTCGCCCGCGTCATCCCCCAGACACTGTAGAGCTCCAAGCGGGCCAAAGTACTTATCATTTGTTGAACACTCCGCGCTGGCACAAGCTCCACACAGATTTGGATATTTCTTCTCTGTAAAATCATTTTTAACTTCCTAATATAAAGAAAAACACTTAATTTGTAAAAGAAAAACTGTTCATAGTTTTGATTAGAGCTCAATCAAAACCATAGTACAGTACAGAAAATATACAGTATTGGCAATATAAATGTACTACTTAGTGCTAATAGAATTAATCTATATAAGAAATTACCTAGTCATTTCATTCTGCTTATATATAATACTTTTACTCCGTGATTTCTAATTTATATAGAAGATTATAATTTTTCTGCATCTACCCATAACTAATTTCCTTATTTACCTTACTAATCACTCTGCTATATGTAAAATACAAGATTTGTCCATATTTAAGTCTTTTGAAATCACTAATCTTTTTTTATTATTATTTAAGTTTACAAAACTGACTTACAACTAGTGCATACAAAATAAAATCTAAGCTAAACAGAGTGTCATTAAGGTGCAGTCTTCTGGATGTAAACCTAGCATGCTTTAAGAAACATATACCTTGCTTAGTTAACAAGAACAGAACTTGTCACTTGTGTAATTACTGACTAGTTAATTATTTGATTATTACATAAAATAATGTGTATATATAGTAATCTTCTACTTAGTATTCATTTTTGTACAAAAAATAATGATTTCCAAGCAATTTTATCAAATAGACCATATAAATTTATATGAAATGACTCACTAAGAGCAGCATCGCGTTCTTTATCTGGTACCCAGGGTCCGGCTTTACAAGCTTTGTAGAAGAAGCTGGACACAGCCTTGATGTGGTTCTCAGTGAGGGTCAGCTCCGGTTCACACGAACGAGGAATGATGAGGGACTCCAGGTACTGGTCATGAAATTATATTAACTAGTTTTGGCCTGTGACTTCGTCTGTATTAGTTTCAGAATTAGATATGTATTTGACCGGTCCAACTATATCTCTCCTTAAAGACAGTAGATAATAAGATTTTGGATATCTTCAACTTATTTTTTTATTTTCAATAGTATGTAAAGTATCCTATGTACATTCTCTTGTTCTAAACTATCCCTCCACCATTTTTTATCCTAACCCGTACAGCCATTCTTGAGTTATAAATAGTGTAACTAAGACGACTTTCTTTATATATATCTAGATTCTAGATAATCACTAACTTTACTGAAGATTGTACGTTACGTCGGTACTATTAGTGGTGATTTATGAATGGGTTACTAGAAATGTAAATATTTCGTTTGAGTAAAGAAACTCATGGTTGTCTAATGCAATCCAAGACTTTCAAGAGTATTCATTTAAATAAAACTAATATTTTTGTATTTACTACTCGATTATTATTTTAACTACATAGTTCCAACGTTTCGGTTACTTCGCAAAAATGATCACGGACAGACAGATAAACTAAATCAAAAAAAATATTAGTTTTATTTCAAAGAATACTAAAAGTCTTAGATCTAATTATTTAGTATAAATTATACATACCCCAGCGAGGGTATCTGATAACGGTCGGAGGTCATCGACCCCGACACCGGGGTGACACAGAGTACTGTTCCTAAGAACATTTGATAAAGACGCCTCACTCTCAAACAGAATGCGACGATTAACTACCGATACTATTCTACGCTCGTATGGTCCTGAAATAAAACATGAAAAATATTAATTTTTTTTCTGATTTTATTTTGGGACTTTTTAGCAGCAAAGCTAAATGTCAGTCCCATCGTTCCCTTAATAAAAATCCCACCACCAACAATAAATATAAACCTTAAAGTATCTAAAATAATTCTAAAATTTATAAACTATTTGTTATTTTAATTTAAACTGATAAATAATTTTGGCTATCTCTGACTGGCATCTGAAAAATAAATCAAGATTCAAATACTTAGTCCTTACAAGTTTTGCATATAAATATAGAGCATTTGCAAATTTTTCATTTCATCAGTAGATTTGTATGTAGAAGTGGAAGCGAGACGTATAACAGCTATCTCTATACAACTTAAAAGACTTGGGCCTGTCCAGAACTAACATCAATTCTAGTAACATAACTTCGGATGCCCTAGTAGGTTATTATCAAATTTGGTCGAGAGAGGAGCTTGTACAGTGGAGGTGAGCTTTTAACGCGTTAGATAGGCCCTTAAACCTACACCTGGGTCACAAGTCCCAGTCACTGTTGAAGCTCCTCTCTACAACGATGGACCCGACACACGCATATGAATACATGGAATGATGAGAAGTTTCCTCTCATTTCATACAGGAAAAGTATATGTAAGTACAGTAGAACTCCAATTATCCGAACTCCGACTATCCGAATCGCCGATTATCCGAATCACTTTCAGAAAAAAAATTGTCCAAAAAAAGTCTAAGTGCGCTATTATTCTTCCCCCCGCGAAGTCAGTGTACGCACAACGGCAAGTTAAGACCGCAAAACAGCTTACATTGACGAAGATGTTATAAAACAATGATTTTTATTTCTAAACTTGTACATAAGTACAATTTATTTATATTTAAAACATGTGAAAATATCATGTTTCTTTCATTTAATTCAATAAAAAAATAGCGCAATATCAAAACGTAACTTTTATTTCTCTCCAATGGCACTTAAAAAAAAACTCCGATTATTTGATTATCCGAATGGGTCCCGGTCCCCATTAATTCGGATAATTGGAGTTCTACTGTATATGCATTCTTGGGGTATAGGAATATAAAAGGTTTTAGCCAATTTCATCCACTCACTATGTCTTTGTCTAATCTCATTAGTGACTAGGACGTCGATGTCAGCCCACTGCGCTGCTATCAGATCCTCAGGGCTAAATACTCCGAAGTCAACTGTTCCTTTACTTATGCGACGCAGGCAGTCCAGTCTGGGAAGAAAAATATAGAATAATACCAAAACTATAGCCATGGCGATAATAAAATCAGTTAGGCAGAATTAAATAATGATTTTTTCTGTTTTATATATATTAAGTTATGATTGCGAAATCTTGAACTCTAGTGAATATAATAATTCTATTGTTACTATCTTTCTCAACATGTTTTATACTAAAATGTAATATTTAACATTATATTTGTTTTACACACAACATGCGGTGTTAAGTCACTAAAGACGAAATTTCTCCAATATGTCGCTGTAAAATCACCTTAAAAAATAAGTAGATAATATCTTCACTTATCTGTCAAAATCAATACGCTTCCTAAGTAAAATTTTTATTTCTAATCAAATGTATGATAATTCTGCAAAAATATATCGTTAGAAATAAATTAGGCAGTACTTCCGCTTAAGTTTATAGCTCTACAGCTCGAAACAGAATCCCCAGTCTAATATTTGCATTCTACTTATAATATTCAATGATAAGTTATTAATATCATACAGAGGGCGACACTAGCGCCTTATAAGAGTTTCCATTAAATAATAAAACATTAAAATTTAAGTAAAATGTGGTAAAACTCTACTTATAAATTGTAAAACCAATTGTTAATTATTTGCACATTTAAATTATTAACATTAATTTATACTATTATAACGAATATACCTATGGCGCTAGTTGACTGTCATAAGAATTCCCAATAAATATTAAAAAACTAGAAGACCTGGCGAACTTCGTATCGCCCTATAATCAAGAAATATGTATTACGTTTTTTTATGTATATTTTTGGAGTTTACCTTCAAGCCCTAAATCTCCGTGTTTTGAAGTGCGACAGAATGATTGACATATTAGTTAGTAGTCAAACCTAATGTCAAAAAAAACTGTTTGTATGGGAAATAGAAAAGGGCTATTTTTATGGTTTTCCCAGTAATGAATCAATTTTTTTCAGCTTTTATACCTTCCCTGAACCTCCACGAACATTTCAAGGCTAAGATAAGATAAATCCGTTCAGCTGTTCTCGAGTTTTATCGAGACTAAGGAACAGCAATCCATTTTTATATATATAGAAGATTACTACTAACAATATTTAATTCTTAACAAACTTAAATATAGTACTATAATAGTATGGTATCAAACGAATGCCTCACACATGCAAAATGCATCCATACAGTCGATTATTCTAATTTAACTTTAATGCGAATACAGTAGCAAAACAGTAAGGACGTATTCCATTTAATAATCACCAATTAACAATCATAATAAACTCACTGATCAGCTCCTAATACACACTCCACGCCAGACTTCTCCTCTTCCAAAATGGGACAGAAAGTTGCGCCTCGTTTGAAGGGACCGCGACCTTCTACGACGCACAGACGTACTGAAACAAAACACTAATTTTATATTAACAAGAACTAAAGATTATTTATGTAATTATATTTAGGATTTTCGTGTACCCTTTTACGAAGACGAATATAACAATATACTATAATACTTAGAAATTATTTTTATTTCTGATTATCTTCTATATATATAAAAATGGATTGCTGTTCCTTAGTCTCGCTAAAACTCGAGAACAGCTGAACGGATTTATCTTAGTCTTGAAATGTTCGTGGAGGTTCAGGGAAGGTATAAAAGCTGAAAAAAAATGATTCATTACTGGGAAAACCATAAAACAGCCCTTTTCTATTTCCCATACAAACGTTTTTTTTGACATTAGATTTGACAACTAATATGTCAATCATTCCGTCGCACTTCAAAACACGGAGATTTATGGCTTACAGGTAAACTCCGAAAATATAAATAAAAAAAACGTTATTGATATTTCTTTATTATAGGGCGATATGAAGTTCGCCAGGTCTTCTAGTAATAAATAATAATCCTGAAAATATATATTTGCAAAATCTATTTGAAAACTATGAATACTGGCTTCAGACATTTTGTATTACAACTGGAAGTAATTCTGAACATTAAGAATCAAGACTGAAACTGTAACTCGAATACACGTGAAAGACATAGAGTGTCGGGATTATGTAGATATAAAAGTATAAAAAACCCATAGTATCATTATGCTCATTTAATTATTACACTCGCACGCGTAAATCACCTGATACTATTGCCTTTCTAAACTGATAATCAACATTTAAACTAAAAATCCCAGCAAGGAAACTGATAAGACTTCGACTGCAATATAAAAACACCCCTGTTTTAATATTATACCTAATAATTATTGAGTAAACCGCTAGTAACGTTATACAGTTGCCTCATGTCACTCATCCACGGAGATGATCTCGTCAACCTCTGTACAGAGACGAGGTTCTGTGTTGTATAGACCAGTTATATGGAGCGGGTTTATAAACACTATTATATACCTAGGACCACCAATATCACGTTCAGTTGTTGTACACGGAACACATGTACTACAAACGGTTCGCTACTGACACATAGAGGTCGCTTCATACAACTTGTCAAACGGTTCGCTACTGACACATAGAGGTCGCTTCATACAACTTGTCAAACGGTTCGCTACTGACACATAGAGGTCGCTTCATACAACTTGTCAAACGGTTCGCTACTGACACATAGAGGTCGCTTCATACAACTTGTCAAACGGTTCGCTACTGACACATAGAGGTCGCTACATACAACTTGTATGAAGGTTTTTTTAGAGCGAATCGAGAATATATCGGATGATGCATCTTCTAGTTATTTTAAAATTGATGAGATCTAAGATTTTCGCGATATTCATTTAAATGAAACTGATATTTTTCGGATGTACTACGCGATTTTATGTGAGTGCTCACACCTCGTCTTAATGATCACGGTTGCTGTAAAGTAACCGAAACTTCGAGTATGTAGTTTATAATCAAAAATAAATTCGCGTAGTTTAATCAGAAAAATACTAGTTCATTTAAATTTTAAATTTGACTAGCTGACCCGGCAAACCTCGTACCGCCTCAATTAATAAATAAATAACTTTTATTTATTTTTTTGGAGTTTACCTATAAGTAAACTATTCTGAAGTGCGACAGAATGATTGACATATTAGTTAGTTGTCAAATCTAATGTCAAGAAAACGTTTGTATGGGAAATAGAAAAGGGCTGTTTTTAGCATTTTCCCGGAAATGAATAAATTTTTTTCAGCTTTTAAACCATCCCTGAACCTCCACGAACATTTCAAGGCTAAGATAAGATAAATCCGTTCAGTCATTTTCAAGTTTTAGTGAGACTAACGAATAGCAATTCATTTTTATATATATAGATTTAATTATAATATAATACATTTATTAATCATCATATAATTGTCTATATGTCAATGTCAGTGGTAGTCGTAAATCATTACATTTATGTTTATTTGACATCCAATTATGAATGAACATAAAGTTTTAATGTTGTTTTATTAATATAAACCGCGATAATAACGATTGTATTTAAGTTACATACTAGCTTAATCCCGCAGTTCCGTTTACGAATTTGTTTTTATTAAATTCAATGGTGTCCTAGTGGTTAAAGGGCCCGCCTCTCGTTGCCGAGGGCGCGGGTTCAAACCTGGCAAGTACTAATGTGATTTTTCGGATTCATATGTACTTTCTGAGAGTATTTAGACACCACTGACATACGGTGAAGGAAAACATCGTGAGGGAACCTGGACTTATAGTTTCACAATTATAAGTTTGAAATCACCAACCCGTGTTAAGCAAGCATGGTGATTAATGCTCAAACCTTCTCCATGTGAGAAAGAGGCCTTTGGTCAGCAGTGGGCGTCTGATAGACTGATGACATGACAAGGGCTATATATATATATATATATATATATATATATATATATATATATATATATATATATATATATATATATATATATATATATATATATATATATATATATATATATATATATGATTAGTACATGTTTGCATCGAAAGTAGCGAAATAGTTTTTCATTTAAAATCTCTTATTGTATAATATTAATATTGTTTGATATCAATATTCAATACCTTTTGTATTCGCAGAAGCTCATTAAATTAAATGTTTTAAAGTATGTACATACCTATTCCATTTTTTTTCATTTTCGTATTATGAGCCGTAGCCTTAATCGACAAATGGGTTATGTAAGCCTAAGTGATTTTTAAACGGACCAGTAGTAGTTTATATTAGGATTTTGAAACCAATAAACGCACTATCTTTAGACTTTTTATACGGAACTTATTATTTAGTCTCTAATATTTAATAGTCTCTCAGGCTTAAAATTTAGATAATTTTACCTTATACAGGGTGACTGGTGAATTACTATCAATATTTAAGGAGAATACTCGGTACATGATTCTCATTCGAATTATGTAAAAAAAATAGGCACTTAATTTTTAACAAAATTTCCGTATAAATAAATAAAGTGTGGACACGTTCCAAGTGTGGACGCGTGCGGCAGCGTGCTGATACAATACCACGCCGCCGCACGCGTATGTGTGTGTATGTATACCTAATCTGTAGGGTATTCACACGATGCGTAATTAATAACATAACTTTTGGTTAACTTTACTCAGAAGTTTATTAATATTTATGTTATATTAATTTTTATCTTGTCATATATAATCGTCAAATATCACGTCCTCAAATATCGATAGTAATTCACCAGTCCTCCTGTATACACATATATACTTTGGCAACCCTAACATAGAACAGTAATTGTCCATAAAAAATATGTGCTTGATATTAACCATTGAAGCATAAAATAACAAGTAGAGATATAAAAGAAGCACGCATCACCATTTTAAATTAAAAAACATTTAAACATCCGTTTTCCTTATAATCTAAACGATTTATGGATTAATAACATGAAATCATTGCTAGCAGCTGAATTAAAAAAAAACAAAGGTGTCAGTTATTATAATTACGCATTGTTGTGATTCATTACTTAATAATTAATATTTATTTAATAAAAAGAGGTTGTTTACTTTAATTCAACCTCCATGGTGAGCGTTTATTTACATGACAATTGACGTGAGGCAGCTGTCAAAGTGACATCACAGATAGTCGAAGGCTGTTTGATATGTAGATCACGATTCGCGCTATTATTTTGTAATATGCATTACTTTATACAGCCGGAAGACAAAGAAGGTTTTATTTAAATACTATAAACCTTCTTATATATTATAAATATGTTCAAATAACTATTGTAATAATAAATTTCTCAATCTGTGTATTGGGTTAAAGATAAAAATAAGTACTATTTACTCGAGAATTTATTGATTTTAGTGTTTTCTTTCAAATGAAAATTACCAGAAAGTAAAATAAGCTTTTCTCAAACAATAATAATAATTTGTGTTACTAATCGAGACTGATTTCTAATATTTCTTTCGTTTTTTATAATATTGTACAAAAAACGAGTAAGTTTTCTTCCGATCATTAGAATAACTCATAATTTTATGTAATTTCTACTTTAATCACATTTATTACGAAATACGATTATTATAAACATTTATCTAATTATCTTAGAAACTTTGGCATATTTAAAATCTTAACAACTTAACTTAAAACAATTAAAATCTCACTACTGGATCAAAATACTATTTTTTTATGCAAAAATGTTAAAATTTAATTGCTATTTATTCCAATATTATTTAAATGTTATTATAATTGCATTTATAATCACAGTGGTCTAAATTTAACATTATTTATGCATACCCAAATTTTTATTTAAAACCTTTTCATATACAGGGTGACTGGTGAATTACTATCAATATTTAAGAAGAATACTCGGTACATGATTCTCATTCGAATTATGTAAAAAAAATAGGCACTTAATTTTTGACCAAATTTCCCAATAAATAAATAAAGTGTTGACACGTTCCAAGTGTTCCAATTGTGGACGCGTGCGGCGGCGTGCTGATACAACACCACGCCGCCGCACGCGTGTGTGTGCGTGTGTGGATACCTAATCTGTAGGGTGTTCACACGATGCGTAATTAATTACATAACTTTTGGTTAACTTTACTCAGAAGTTTATTAATATTTATGTTATATTAATTTTTATTTTGTCATATATGATCGTCAAATATCACGTCCTCAAGTATCGATAGTAATTCACCAGTCACCCTGTATATGGCAACTAAATCAACATTATTTATGTGTAAAGTTCCTTTAACAAATAATTGTATTTATTTTCCTCATAGTGTTTACTTCCGCAACAATTAAAACCGGATATTGAAGTTCATTACATGTTGTGGCCTCCTTCTTAAGGTGGCACTTCACTTGACGTTTATTTGTTGTTTTGCCAAATAAGACCATGTGTGGACGAATTATTCGTCTTCATTTGACATATTTGCACAAATAACACACATACACGCATAAGAGAAAACGCGTAAAGACGTTTAATGCCAAGTGTGGATGTCATGTTTGCGCTATTTGGACTACGTACAAATATTTGGACAAATGCGGCGAATACGCAACGCCAAGTGAAGTGCCACCTTTAGATAAAAAAAAACATAATAATTAATTTTTATATATCTTTTATCCTGAAAAACATATATATATGTATCACATTATGAAGAAAAAATGAGTATTTTATTAAATTTTTATGCATTATGTGTTCTTAACAGGAAAACGTTTATTTTTATTGTGTTTTAAATTACACACGACACATATAAACGAAAGTCGTGTTATTTACACTATTTATAACTCAAGAACGACTGTACGGGTTTGGATGAAGATTGGTGGAGAGATAGATTAGAACATAGAAAGGACATAGGATATTTCATTCTATTCCATCTAAACAGAAAAATACTTAATAAATTCCAATATCTGGTTATTTACGACCTCTAGGTCATACATATATTACTAATGAAGAAATTAACGCGTACGAAGTCGCGGGCAAAAACTAGTATATATATAAAGCCTTCGTCTTATGACACATTTATCACACAAATACCTTATTTTTATATGTTTATTTAATATTTTATTAACACACCTTAGTAATAATTTAATATACTTGGTACATGACGTTTTTTGTGACTAGGCAACTATTGACAAATTAAACATTTAGCGTTGTTGAATCATTTCTAGGAAAAATACATATTGGAATGGTTTTTATCTGTAACTAGCTGCGCCCCGCGGTGTTACCCGATTTCCGGGATGTAAAGTAGCCTATATGTTATTCCTGGACGTCAGCTTCCTGTAAACACAATTTTATCAAAATTCGGTTGAGCCGTTTGAGCGTGAAGAAGTAACAAACATTACCACACACTCACAAACTTTCGCAATTATAATATTAGTAGGATTAAAAGTTTTTTTTATTTATGTTTCTTATAAAACTAATTTATTTAATTTCCGCAATTAGAATGAAAAAATGAAGCCGAAAAAACGGTATTCTTTAAACGACTGTCTTTCAATTTATTCACAAATATTAAATTAGGTGATTGATTAAAAAATAGCATAATTTTAATTAAGTTTTAAATTAAAACAATAAGTGTTGCAAACTACATACTAATAGTTTCCGTTTCTCATTCAATACTACGTTAATACTATACAAGATTTATGAATGACATACTGTTGACGTGGAGTATGTAGTGACGAACTCGTGGTAAGGATACAGTTACTAGTTTAAGGAAAACCGCAATAGATTTGCTAATGTCCAAATTAAATAATATTACATCATTCCTTTACATTCAAGGCGAGATATACTTACCTTACGAGTACATACTTTTAATGTCAAGTGTAGACATGATTCTACAATCTTATAAATGATTAAAAATTATGTATGAAAAATCATATTAAATAATATAATATACCAGACATATTTTTTGTCAGTGGTGGCCTAGTTAAAACACCCGCTTCTCATGCACGAGGGCGCTAGTTCGATCCTGGCAAGTACCAATGTGATTTTTCCGAATCATATGAACTTTATAAGAGTATTTAGACATCACTGAATAATGCATTCTCAAAGAGGGTTGATGTCAGGCAGGCGGCTGGTCGTAAAAACAATTAGCCAAAACTATTCACAACATTTAAGGCAGACCCTGGCTAAAGCTGGGAAATTGCCAGGAAGAAAAAGAATATGCCAGACATATTTTTGTATTCGCGAATTTTAAAGCGCGTAGTGATGATAGAGCTTACGGTCCCTTGGGAAACCAACATCCCCAAAAACCATACCATCAAGGTCAACAAATATTACGAGCTCACTAACGAACTAACTCGAAATAGGTTCGTCGTGGATTTGTTCGCGGTACAAGTGGAAGCGAGAGGTATAACAGCGAAATCTCTCTACAACCTACTAAAAGACTTGAGCCTGTCCAGAACTAATATCAATTCATTCTCAGAACGTACTTCCAAGGCAGTTCTAGTAGGTTCGAACCAAATTTGGTAGAGAGAGGAGCTTGTGCAGTGGAAGTGAGCGTTTAACGCGTTAGATAGAGACCCATAAACCTACACCTGGGTCACAAGTCCCAGTCACTGTTGAAGCCCTTCTCACTACAACGATGGACCCGACACACGCACCGTGAATATATGGAATGATGAGAGGTTTCGTCTCTCTATATATATTAAACCTACACCTGGGTCACAAGTCCCAGTCACTGTTGAAGCCCTTCTCACTACAACGATGGACACACGCACCGTGAATACATTGAATGATGAGAGGTTTCGTCTCAATAAGAAATGTGATAATTTAAATAAAAGTAAAAGTTTGTTTAAATATTACGTGAAATTAAATATAGTATAGTATATTATTTAATATGAGTTATTAGTCACGGTAAACGTAAAACATCGTTTAAAGTAAATACGGCTTATCTTTGATTTTCATCCTAAGTTTTTAATTGAAAAATGATTACTCTATGCGTAAAATTTGACGATTTGACATTGTTCAAGTTAGTAATTGAAAAATTATAATTGTTTTCGTAAAAAATTACGTTATGTACAAGTACCGAGGTTACTTAGACTAAGGTTTTCACAAGTACTTGCGATATAACGTTAAATGGTTTATGGTAAGGAAACTATAGAACTGTTCTAGTTTACGTAAGCATGGAAACTCTTAATCTATCTTCTATATATATAAAAATGAATTGCTGTTCGTTAG